GATAATGATGAAATAGCAAATAATTGAGGAGTATCATAGGTACCAATTCAATGGATATTTGTATAAAAAAGAGCCCCCGTCAGTACTAAAAGAGCCCCCGTGAGAAGGCTCACGGGGGCTCTTTTTTGGGGGAAGAGCCCCCGTGGACAAAAAATTAATTTGAGCCCTGAACATAGTAATAACAATATAAAGAATCATGTTTTGTAGTGATTTCGCCTAACGTCAAGTATCATATGTTTATAATATTTTGGCGTTTAATTACTTGTACTCATGCAGAGAGCTGGATTTTTTTCTTCTGGCTATTTTAACTGCCATACTGATGATTTTCAGGGGCAGTTCAACGAAGAAGGCATCTCCAACATCCTTTAATACATCTATGATTTAAAAGTGCGTTCGATGTATCATGCATATGGTAGAGTGAGTGTATACATGTAACTTATATGAAATGGGAACACCTCGTTGAAAGGAAGTAAATAGAGGAGAGGCCTGGAGAGAAGACGAGAGAGAGAGAGAGAGGGGGGGAGGGGGGAGGCAGACTGACGGAGGAGGGGAGACAGAGACAGAGATTGTGAGACTGAAAGCTAGTGAGATTGAGAGAGGAGAAGAAGGAGAGAGAGAAAGAGAGAGAGAGAGAGAGAGAGAGAGAGAGAGAGTAGAAAGACATGGGAAATCGTGAGGGAGATAGAAGCAAACACAATTAACGGTACAGTTTCAATTTAGTTCTATATCTAGACCTCAATTCAAATTACAGTAAATCTGTAATAGATGGTCTTCAGTTTACTTTTCAGTTTATATCACATGCATTCACGTTCATTACATAAATCGTATAACAATGAGCAAGAAGAATGACCAATTTTTTTTTTTCAAGGGGTATAAAAATACATACAATGATCTGAAGCCCTGAAAGTAGCCTAATAATAGAGTCGAAATAACAAATGGATATAAAAATACAATTGCATGGTATTTAAACTGAAATTAGACAAACATATTTGCAGTGAAATATGAGGGAATATAATAAATAACTGCTATAGATAATATAGGTTGTAAGTTGTAGATACCCTTATCAATATATATAAAGAGTAATGCACATGTAAATTATAATAAATTATACTTTTCTTCTCTGCAGTAATTAAAGGCAATAATGTAGGGCATGTATAGATTTGTTGCAAAAAAAGAAATTGCAAGAATATAATTGTGGATTTAGTGAAATATGAACACCATCAAAATACAGTTTAATATTTGTTATGAACCAGGACCCAACGACTAACAAACCGTTAACAAGGTAATCGTGGCCGAGCGGTTAAGGCGATAGACTAGAAATCTATTGGGGTCTCCCCGCGCAGGTTCGAATCCTGCCGATTACGAAATTTTTTCTTTCTTTCTCCAGTTTTAATGAAATGAGGAGGATGCTGAGGATATCCTGGAAGGTTCATAAAATCTAAATGATTTCGTCAAGAACCGAATGTTTTGGACACATTATTTTGTGGGATAGAAGGAGACAACCTGGAGAAGAACGCCCAAGGTCATGTTGAAGGTCAACGAAAACGTGGTAGGCCAAAGTTCGATGGGCTGACGGCGGATTAAAAGAGATTACTGGCATGAACATCTGCACAGCTCATCGCTCTGCCCAGGATATAGAAGTGGTTGGAACCGACGTCATCATCAATAGGGTCACAAAGGGTCAGTCATGTGACACGTAGGACGTATCGACGACGACAAATGAAATACGCAGTTATAAATACAGCGGTCTAAATAAAACTGATGATCAAAATACTGTAAACGATGATGGCATCTAGTTCAAGGGTGCCGTTTAGCCTTCAAGTTCAGGCGATCCAGGTCGTGGTGCGAATATTACAATGAATACCATTTTAACGTATTTATTTTTGGGGCGGTACCCATGTACTTTGTATCTACCCTCAGTTTTGCAAAATAATATCAATGATAGTAATGATGATAATTATTGAAATTCCTTGATACCAGTATGACTAGAGGAGTCTTAAATTGGATAGGAAAGAGAGAAGAGAGAGTAAGTGTGTGAGAGAGAGAGAGAGAGAGAGAGAGAGAGAGAGAGAGAGAGAGAGAGAGAGAGAAGAGAAACAGAGAGACATACAGACATACGGAGATAGAAAAGAGAGAGAGAGAGAGAGAGAGAGAGAGATATATAATATATGTATATATATATCGACATAGAGACAGACAGACGGAGATAGAGAAGATCAAGAGAGAGAGAGAGACCCTCTTCTCAAGATAGGTCCATGGTTAAACGTACATTCCTTCCATGAAGTTTAATGTTGCAAAGTATGACAGTACGGGGAGTGCTGGAAAATGTCAGTATATAGATTATAGCTGGCCTCAACTTAAAAAAAAGTAAAAGTGATATAAGAACAAAATTGATATCATGCGCGTTGTAGTAAGATATCCCCGCTTTCCTGCAAAATGTAGGATGATCTCACCCCATATAGGATTTGTCTACTTTATTACCTACGATTATCTTCTAAAGAAGGACTAATGTACGAGAGCGCGTAGCCATGCATCGAGAGATATATTGTTTTGTTTCCATTTTTCCATTTTATTTGTTCTTTCATTCGTTTCAAAAGGACATACAACGATACAAAGCTACATGCAAGCATGTACAAAGAGTATTCATGTACAGAAAAAATATACTGTCTTCATGCAATAACGGGCATATTCACACCATATATAATTATGTATACACGGATATATGTTTTAAACGATTAAAATAGAGCAAAGATCACTAATATCATAATTACATAATAATTGTTGTGTGTTTTTTGGCAATTTTTCAAAATTTCCCGGTGGCGACCCCCAGAAGATTTGTTTGAATGTGTCTCCTAACCCCCCCCCCCCCCTACCTTGGGCTTGGTGATGTCATTTAAAAAAAAAAAAATATCTAGAGGCCTACAACATGACAAAGTCCAAACAGAAGCCTATACCAATATAGAACAATGAGGTCTCCCTCTCTAGATACACTCATACTTACATCGAAGTAATCGTGGCCGAGCGGTTAAGGCGATAGACTAGAAATCTATTGGGGTCTCCCCGCGCAGGTTCGAATCCTGCCGATTACGAATTTTTTTTTTTTTTAGTTGTTATATTTTCTTTCAAACACTATTTGACCTTTTAGGACTATTTAGTAAGAGATACATCCTTACATTTATCTATTAACAAAATTATTTTAAAAATAAATAAATAAATTTAAAAAAAAAAAAAAAAAAAAAAAAAAAAATCGCATTTCTGCATATCACGATCGCAAAGACTTTAAAATTTCAATACCATTTTCCACCAGCTTTGGAAAAGTGCGAACATTACAATGATACGTCACGTAATCCGAACTTTTCAAACAGGGTATTGAAATGCCCTGAAGTTGATTTCTTAAAAGTCTTTGGGATCGTGTACTGTTATAATTATGCAGTCCAAATTATGGAATTCTAAAGTATACAATTAATTATATGACACTTTAATCACCCGACTCTTGAAATAAGAAGAACCGTGAAAACATATTGTTCAGAGCAAGTAGTTGACGTTAGGCTACAAATTGCCTAAACGTCAATGTCAGTAATGCACTGTACCACCGTTTTGAGGACGAGAAAGGCGTTAACTCATGCGTCTGACATTACATGTATGTCCTATGAGTTAGTTACAACCCTCTAGCTCCCAACACTTTAATCATCATTATTTATATCATAATCATCGCAAGATCCGTTTATTTTCTTCGTATTCAGCTATACATTAATGGATCATCCAGAACCCTTTGCCAATCATCAATATAGTTCGCAATATTTAGTCGCTTTTGGTTTCTAATAGATTAATGACAAATATAACATCATCAGAGGCTGCACATTTTGATTGACCTATGAACTTTCCTTATACAGGGACTGTTCGCCAGTCTATGACCAGCGGTCAACAATAATTCTGTTGATACCTAGCTTAATTTGCTATATATTTTGCAATTGCAAAGTATACATGCATATATATTTTCAAATTGCAAATTGTAAAGGAGAAATCCTTAAGGTGTGTATTGAAGCGGAATGTGAATTACCTGCTGATTATGTACCTACTATGAAATGTAAAGTTTGATTTCACATGTATTTACTGTATTTTAATGTTTTTATCAAACTTGTAAAAAGTCACAGTGAATTCAGCCTTCGGGCTGCGAGTTGATTTTCAATAAAACAAACCATTTATTTATTCATTTATTTAGGATAGGCCTAGCCACATAGACGGACACATGCACTCGGATGCGAAATTGACCGTTACTATATATCTATAAGTATAGGCCTTTAATCAATACTCTAATCAATCAAACAGTTTGATTGAATGGTATAGTGAAGAAATTTTAATGAAATATTAGGAATGTGACACGATATAATAACAAAAACGAAAACAACCAAAAACAAAACTGCTCAACTATTTATTGAGGCGCTATACAAAAACCTACATAATTATTTCTGAAGTCGGCCATATTGCAGCTCAAGCAAATCTTATTAGGATTAAAAGCTGAAAATGATGGAACCGTGATATCTCATATTGTTGAAGAAGACGGCGAAAAGGATGACAAAGAAAAATAATCACAATGATAGGCCAATTAACATTGTAGGAACTCTAATATTTCATGATGAAGATTTCATAGTCATAATAATATTATAGAGGCTGCATAAGTATATGCAGCCTGTATGCCCTTGTTCTCTTGTTGCTATATCGAAGTATAATGTTTGTGGTTATGCATATGGCAGACAACTAGCCATTCTCCCCCCCCCCCCCTTTTTTTTTTTTTTTTTTAAGAGTCTTCGTTTTCTTTGTGTAATTTTCAGACTGATCACAGTTGACCTTTTTAGGTTTTCTTACCAAAAATAGGCAAAACAAAGGGCTCAAAGCAGACAGCTGAGTTTCGCGCATGCGTATGAAGACACTCGACTACAGACTGGTGTAGTTTATCGTGAATATTTTTTCATCACAGTTAATAGCGTACCTATACAAAAATCGTGCCCCAGTCTTATATGTATACAAAACACTGTAAACGAAGAATTGGCGAGAAATCTACAACAACATTGAACTTTCTGCTTCTATTTCAACTACCATGCTCCGAATATATTATTTAAACTGAGAGGGAAGGAAATCTGGCTCGATGAACCTCGCAAATCAGCCCTCGGATTCAAATTCGAATCTATTATTCGTCAATTTCAATCAAGATTATACGTGAGTAGCTGCGACATTGCGATGTCACTTGCCCATTTCGCAATTCAATGCAAAACAAGTGTAATGGCTAATGCCTTGCCCTTGGCCTAGCCTGGCACCTAGAACTGCACTGCACTTGGCAGTTGAACCAGGCCAGGGAGTTATTCATTCCAACTCCCTGGTTGAAGATGACAGAAGTCAACTTCCATCTTTATCATGAAAATTTCTTCTTGCTCTCTGTGTCATGCAATTCATGCATAGCTGATGACCATGATCATTTTGTGCTACCTTATTTATTTAATCTAGACTCTAGTTGTTCTGCTGTTTAGATTTGCAGATTATGTTTTTGACGTTGTTATTTTGTCCATCATTCGTTTAGAATATTTACACCCTAACTTTATGTAATTTTGGATGAAACTGTTTTTTTTTTTTTTTTAATAGTTTTCCTCAAGACTCAAGTGATGATTTCCAGATAGCCTACGCGGAGTAAGCCAGATGATGATTATTACGATTAATTTAAGCTGATTTAGCTTAGACTGAAAATTTCTGTCTCTTTCGTTCGTTAGCCTCTGATTTGGGGAGGGTCGGCTCCTCTCTTTAGAGACAGAAGCTGACCATAGAATCTGCTCTGCAAACTTGGTGAACGAGATTGCATGCATCCCTCTGCAGTCTACGTGCATTGTGCGATCATGCAAAATTGGTCAATGTTTTTATTACTAAATCAAGATTCAAACTTTTATTGCTTGTAATCCGGAAGGTGATACTCAATAAATGAGGTGTCATATTTGAAAGAGTGGGTTTTTCTCTATATTCCCGAAGGGGCATCATTTCGGAATTCTAAAAGTATCTTGATCAGAATAGCGATTTAAATGTTGTTTCAATCGAGCTCCAAGATTTGCCACTTTGGAGAAATGACGTCCCGAGGCTTAAAGGAGCTACACAAAGAAAATTCACTAACAACTCATAATCAGAACAAATTACATGTACATGTATGGATGGAAAGATTTACTCTTGAAAAACATGAACAATTTGCTGAGAAATATAGATATCATGGAACGACGTAAACTGCAATTTTTCAAGACCCTCCTTAGACCCCCGAACGCCCCTGAAGGTAAGTCAAACACACGAGCGTAGCAAGCTCTGAATTGTGACGTCGCACACTCGACGAACAGCTCAGTGCCGTGTAGCAGTATGCAGCTAGCCAGCCGTGTCCTGTATGTGACGTCACAAATATTGACGCTCTACAAAGGACCGCTGAAGGCAGAAAATCTGGATCTCAAATCTAACATTTTTGAGAGTTGATTACTGCGGGCCCCAACATATTTTGAAGAGAAGAGTTGTTGTATTCGATCGGCAAGGCTTCCCCTTCGCAATGATATGAGTTTTGCATCAATTCAAAACACCTTGATTCTTCGTGTGGCTACTTTAAGGTGGGCCAGGTGTAAGTAATATATCCATGCGCTTAGTACCCCAAGGGATTTCAAGCCGTACAGTTTAAAAATACCCTTCCCCCCATTTTTTGGATCAGCTAAGTAGGGAGTCGTGAGCTCCGCTCAGCCAAAAACCATGGTGACGGCGCACTGATATATGTATTGCACGTTCGGCGCGAACCAATCTTTGTGCACGCTGCCCGTGTTGCAAGCCTTCGTACACAAAGTGCTGCGTGTGTACATTCGGATCGCGCATGTGTGTGTTTGTGAATTGGCGAACAGACCCGCACACAGAAGACAATGGAGGTGGAGCTTGCGATCGTGCTCAAGTAACATGCAGCTAAGCAACACGCATACTCTTGATGCTATTAAAGTCTGCACTGGTTTTGTTCCGTATAGTAGATTATGTTTTTCATTTGTATTTTGTTTGACCTTTTGACCTTCCAGGTCATTAGCAGTAGGCACGAAGACAAGCTACAGACTGTTCTCATTGACATCTGTGGACAAGCTAGAGCAGATCTATGAACATGGTAAGTAAGATTAACATTTAGTCTTTAGATCAAGGATTCATATGAAACATGCTTCAATATGCAATGGAAAGCAGTGTGTATTATGTGTATTCACACAAAGATCATACAAACAGAATCTCATTTTCATTACATTTATTTATTTCCATGTCCTGATAAAAACAATATCATATAATCTTCAAAATACAGACATATATATAATGGGATCCGGGCTAACTTAGATCCGGGGACAACTCGGCCCCGATGCAAAAACTGTCATTTTTTGGTCATTTTACCCTATGACGCTTGGGTACAGGCTGGCGATCCTGTGTTGTTCATTTTTCATTTTAATTCATTTATTTCCACTTCTCATAAAAAAACATAGAACAATTTATGTACAATATCTGATTAACACAAGAAAATAGCATACTGGTAACAATATTGAAAAAAATTAGAGCACCTAGAATTGATACTGAGACTGTGGTGGAGCCAGCAGAGGCCATTGACCTATCAAGAGCTGGGGCCCGTTCCTCGAAACAGTCTAACTTCTTGACTATCACATTGAAACGTGTGTTATAGAATTAACACGCGTTTCAATGGGATAGTCAAGAAGTTCGACTTATGACGGTTTCTAGGAACGGGCCCCGGTCTCTAGGAATAAATTAAATTAGGTACACAATAAAAAAAGAAAAACAGGTGAACAGGTGGTGTAGTAACTCTAAAAAATCAACATATTTTAGCATTTCAAAAGGCATTATTCATATTTACTTCTGAAAGATGACGCTATTGAAAATACGTTACAGCAGTGGTATTGATGCCAGTAAAATATATTGCCTTTAAAGTGGCATCTGTATGAAAGGTCCGAGATAAATTATGCATCTAAGAGACTTTGACAGCTTCTTGCTGCAGTAAGCTTGTGCAAATAGATATTCAGTCATGTTAGTTTTGGCCTTAGAGCACTTTAAATTTGGCCTTAAAACAGTTTAAATTGAAATCTTAAGATGTTTGCATGTGCATACATGTACATGTTCATGACCAAGTAGTCAAGCTTAAAATTAGTTGAACCATATAATAAATTCTGTGTACCGTACACTGTATGTGTAGGTCCAGTAGTAATCATCCATATTAAACATATGAGCTTTCGGGGTGATAATCATTCATTATTGGTAAATCATGATATGGAACCTAACATAATTAACTATAGCCAGGTAACCATGTCCATATGCACAATGACCTTTTGCTGTTAAATGTACAGTCAAACCTGCTTTAGTGACCACCTGTCTACAAAGGGCACATTTGTTGTTTCCCTTGAAAATGGTTTCTCATTGAATCATGTACTTAAGGAACCTGTCTACAGAGGCCACTTTTCGTGTTTCCCTTGGGCGGTCGCTATAGACAGGTTTGACTGTAAGGTATTCGTAATTTGGCTCACAAAAGCGTTTTGAGATGAATAAAATTGAAAATATCCCTCAAAACTTGTGATAATTTTGTTGTCGTCATTCCACTCTCTCCAGACTCGGAAGATATCTGCATCGTGGAGAGGCTGTTCTCCAGCAGCCTGGTGGCAGTGGTGTCGCTCACGGCACCCCGTAAACTAAAGGTCTGCCACTTCAAGAAGGGCACCGAGATCTGTAACTATAGCTACTCCAACACCATTCTAGCCGTCAAACTTAATCGCAAGGTATGGTAGAACGATGGTGATGACGATGTCACAGGTCATTTTTTGGTCAGTGTCCAATACTTAGTTTACAGTGGCTTTTGTTTTGGCATTGCCTAAAGGAAAAATTATGCCGTATATATTTCCGTTTATAGAACAATTGTATAATTTTATTGTCAGTTCTTGTAACTCTACCATAAAACTTGTATTGAAGCCTGTCTGCACTGGTTTGGCCAGATCACATCAGCTCTCAATTAACATAAGAAAAAGGGGACGATGGGGGACCAACAGGTACTGCTTAGGAGTTGTTTGCTATATATAGACGGCCCAAGTAGCTACAAGTAGTGCAGTCCCGCTTTAATGTGTCATTTTTCATTGTATTAAAAGTAATTTTATCTTGAAATTGTACAATTTTAATTGTTTTTGTCATTTAACATCAGAATGTTTATCTCTTAAGAATGCTATTCAAACAACATCTTACTCAATTTAAACTTAATGTGAATTTATGTACACCCCCCCCCCTCCTGGATCTGTGTGATTCATACTGATGTTGCAGAATACATTGTATTGTATAGCAGATACACAACAACAATATTTGTAGATCTACATCATACATGTTCGTATCTTCCAGATGACATATGTTCACAAGTACATAAGTCAGGTGTTCTTTATCACATGACACCTGTATTTGTATCACGTGGAAGTGTTGACACAACTTGTCCCTGATTTTTACTGACCGTTTGCATTACTCAATTGATTAGTGGTTGTCTGATGGTAAAAGATTTTTGGCACACAGTCTTTGGTTCAAAGTCCAAGGCACCAGATAGATATCTGTTGTTAGATTTATTGCCAGAGTATACATGTGGTTATCCCATTTGAGTTTAAGGGCTGATTATAATGTTATTTACTGAAAATATCACTTTTACCTGTATCCTAAGAGTGCATACTGCATTATATGAAAGTGTACAGCAGATTTTTATGTAAATTGGTGGTATACTGGTATAGTGTCCATAAACTATATCGGGCAATATGAATATTCTTTGGCAATGGCCTCACATGTACAGTTTCTTTTCCCATCTTCACTGCATCATGTTTTCTAATTATTCACCATTTGATTAAAAGCAAATCATGAGAATTAACAGAGAGTGAATCATTACTTTCTGTCATATTTGCAGAGATTAATTGTAGCACTAGAAGAGAGTCTCTACGTTCACAACATACGGGATATGAAGGTGCTGCACACGATACGGGACACCCCTCCCAACCCCCTGGGGCTGTGCGCTCTATCCATAAACAACGACAACTGCTACCTGGCCTACCCGGGAAGCAGCCAGATAGGAGAGGTGCAGATCTTCGACACGGTCAACCTGCAGGCGGTGACGATGATCTCGGCCCACAACAGCCCCCTGGCGGCGCTGGCCTTTGATACGTCAGGGACCAAGCTGGCAACGGCTTCAGAGAAGGTAGGTGAAGGTGACCTTGAGCTTGTTTGACCTTGGCGTCCTCTGATGGTCAAAGTCAAGCTAGGTCATGGTCTATACATTCAGGCCTGATAATTACCTGATTACAAAATTTATTCATTTTTAATTTAAAAAATTGGATTAAAAAAAAAAAAAAACCCTTATTTTTTTCCTCATTTGACCCATTTTTCCTCCATTTTTTAATTTAAAAGGGGGGGGGGGATTTTGTTGAATGCCACTTTTTTTTTCCTGAATGCTTTTTTTTTTTTTTTTTTTTAAGCACTCACTGTCACCCCTGTACATTACATGTTGATGAAAATCTTTATTTTGCTGTACTGAATTTTGAAGAAAAAAGATATAGAAACTAGAAAGTGATTTGAAGACTAGTCCATTCTATGGCGCTAATATATATTGTAGTAATCCTTTCATTGCCATCGGAGGTTTACCGCCAACATTTTAAAGTCATACAGTATATATAATGGGAATAGTTTTGGACAGATAAAGTTCTAGACACTTCTTTAAATACTGACTGGATTTATGATTCTGAAGTAATCTTTTGCCCTTATCTTTTTCTTGTCAGGGTACCGTGATCAGAGTATTTTCCATTCCAGACGGCAAGAAATTGTTTGAATTTAGGAGAGGAGTGAAGAGGTAAATATAGAGTCCTTTTCCATTCATTGTAATAAATTTTATACTATGTACCCTGATTTTGCCATTTTGTTTCTTTGTTTGTATATAGTGTCAAGTGCCAATCAGGGATTAAATTGGTATTATACATGCACCTGTCAAAATTTTATTTGTAATTTATGATTTGTTTAATAATGTATCACAGAGAATATGAAGGCATTTTGTAATGAGCAATAAGTAATGATGGCAAATGACGTCTTGGTATTTTGTTATGTTGATAATTTTGTATTGACAAATATTTCTTTTCGTCTGTCAGATGTGTCAGCATAAACTCCTTAGCTTTCAGCGCAGATTCGATATTCCTGTGTGCATCCAGTAACACAGAGACAGTCCACATCTTCAAGCTTGAGCTACCGAAAGAAAAGTAAGTTCCCATTCAGTGTCTCCAAGTTTATATATCAATAAATTTTGAGAGTCAAATGTGGAGTTTCGTTCATTATTTCAATTTTTTTTTTTTCCAGAGGAAAAACCAATGCAACTCTCAATGTGTAAAACACAAGTTTAAAATGAGAAGAGATTTGCTCCCCACAGCCAGCACAGGGGGTAAAACGTATATTTATGTTCTTTATTTTCTGATGTTGTGATGGGGCAGGTGGGAGGGTAGAGGGTCACAGGTCAGCTCAAGATGGGTGATAAGCAAGACAAAATTGCCATTGAGTGAGGGGAGGGTGTAGGAAGGGGTGGTATCATCTTCTTTCCACATTTGGCACTGTCAACCATTTATATCTCTCTCTCTCTAGCTCTCTCTCTAATCGCTTTCCCCTCCATTTGATTGGAGGCGGGACATGTGCCCCTTGTAGCTATGCCACTGTTTATAGACGTGTTCAGCTATTAAACTGTCCTCTTCTGTCCTATCGTTGTTTAGACCTACGGAGGAGCCCTCCACATGGATGGGATACCTAGGAAAAGCCTTGATGACTCCTGCTAACTACCTGCCGTCTCAGGTAACGGAGGTACTCACGCAGGACAGAGCATTCGCCATCGTCAAACTACCCTTCTCAGGGCTCAAGAATGTCTGCGCTCTCGCTAAGTGAGTTTCCATGACGATTGAAGATTTTTTTTGTGTGGAATGTTTCCCCTCGTGTCATATTAAATTCATCTCTTATTCTATCCTGTAAATAAAAAATCACTTGATACGACCATTGACCAAGTTTACCTTGTGGTATCCATACATAAGGCCTTAACAAAAAAAAGATGTTGTATTGCCCTTTGCGACCGACCCAAAATCTTGAAATCTATGGTCGGATTTTTTTTTTTTTTTTTTACTGATTTTTAGAAAAAAAATATAGAGCATTCAAAACTGAGAAATATCAGCCCAACGAGGGATTTTAAAAATATAAAAGAAGTAAAAAAAAAAAAAGATTTCCGACCGACTGACCCATGTTTTGGCACCTAAGGGGCAATACAACATCTTTTTTTGTTTGGTCTAATGACCTGAAAACAATTCTTCAGCCATTATGTAGTCACTCAGAAAACGGGGACTGTGGGCACCCTGGTGTCCTTTAAAACAAATATGTATACGGAATCAAACATGTGATAGAGACATTTTAACAACAGGAATAGGAAAATTATATCAGTTGCCATTCTGTATGAAGAAGGCAATACGACCAACCCGAAAGAATGGAAATTTGTAATGGCACAACTCATGGCCATATTACAGTCGAACCCTTACAGGAAAATTGCTTAAGGGAAGGAGAAAAGTGGCATTCTACAAAGGCGGTCCCCTGGGCAGATTAGACTGTAGTATATGTAGGCTATCAGCAGTAAGAAGACATTCATGCAGTTCCTATTTATTCTCATACCTTGCTTGATGTTAGAGTATTGATTATATTTTCTCATTGCCACAAGAGTCTAGAAATTCTTACATTCATAAGGGACTTTTCATGATCGTGACGTGGAGCTGGCAGTAAACGACCTGTATAAATGCATATTATTTCCAAAATGAGACATGCTTGGACGTAGTCTTGAAAATTAAAGCGTTCTGTCTCTTTCACAGTATTTGTTTTAAAAAAAAGTAGTAAAACATCGTCAAACTAAAAGAAAGAAGAACTTTTTTTACAGAATTGGGATGCATTAAACTTGAACATGTCTATTGAATTAAAGGTAAAGACCAGTATTGGAAACGCCCCAATTTCAAAAAATTAAATGGAAGATCTCATTACCAATCATGTGAAAGAATATGTTTTGACTAATACATGATGATAAAAAATTTGCCGGGAAACTGCCTACTAATTCATATATTTGGTAAATTTGTTTCTCTCATGGTCTGTGAGAGATATAGGGTAGTCCCATATACATCTTTCTGTGTATAGTGATTGTAACTTTATGAAGAATGGGCCAAATTTCTTATCATTTTGATGATTCCAGAACCTTGCAGATGCTAGATGCTAGATGATCAACCTTTTCTGATCGATTCCACAACGTTTCTTTCACAATGCAATCGCATGACCATAACTGGTCTTTACCTTTAAAGTGTTGCAATTCTTTCTCTTTAAAGTACCGGTAGGTGATTGAATTGAACTTTATTTGATTCCAATCACAGTAAAACTGACATACATTTTTGTAATACATAGGCAAAGAAAAATACATTGAAATATATACATTTTTTTTTTTTAATATTTAAAAAAAGGAAAATAAGAAAAAGAAAAAAGAAGACATGATTAAATCTAATAAGAGTATAGGATGGAAAAAGGTGCATCCGTAAAAGCCACATGGGCTTGATGAAATGTGATGAAAAAGTTTAATCAACTCTCTCTTGACCATTTCAATATCTCAGATACTTGTTGTATAAAAGATTGCACCAGTACTCTTGTGATATTGTGTTTGAAAAATAAAATACCTTCTGGTATTATCTTTTGATTATTCTAATAGTATTGCAACAAAAGATAGATGGGATATAAGCCTTCCCATAACAGAAAGGTAAATCAACTATCTGACTGAACAACATAACACAAGCCAATTAGCATAGAAGAAAGTCTCATGGACTTTCTTAGCACCAAACGTTTATATGCTGCTTCTTCGTTTTACCAAAAATTATTGGGATATTTCATCGGTCAAGAGCTTTCTTTTGCTATCATATTTTCACCCATGTTTTTTGTTTCATCCAAAATTTTCATTTGTTGCTTTCTGTTCCATATTGTTTCAAATTATTTTCAGTTCATATGATTTGGAAAAGTCACATCAATTTCTTTAGATTCCAAATATTTAATTTATGTTGCACTTGGTAAGCTGCTCTTCTGCACATCCAATTTCCATATCATTTTAGAAATAAAAGCCAGAACACGATTCAACAGACAAGATATTGTCAATTATTATTTGTATAAAGGGTTGTGTGTTGACCAGAAAAAAGCAGTGTAGATCTTATGCTTTGCGCAAAAGTACCCCGATGACTGCAATTTAAAAAAACTCTATCTCATGATTTGTGGAAAAGTACCAAGATGACTGTGCACTATTTCTCCATATCTTATGGTTTGGGGTGCACAAAAATGTAAAAGAGCGCATACGCGTTATATACGTAAAGGCAGAGACAATTGATGTATATGTGCAATTGTGCGCAGCCCTTGCAAAATGCTTGGGTACAGGTAATGACAAAATATAATGAATTAAAAAGGTAAGGGCCTATTGACGAAAATTGAGGTACTAGCTATCATACAATTAATAATAACATTATTGAATTGCTTTACTTTTGTAAGGTGCAAGGGCATATAGCACTCATGTAGAGGATATTTCACTCATGTAGAAGATTTTTCACTAGTTCTGCCGACTCCTGAAATATGATCATCATCTCTCTTGAGTCTAATCAATATAATATGATTATGTGCCCTTTTTCCCAAATTGTATAGATATTTGCAAGGAGGAGGATGCACTGGTAGTGGAATAATTTCACAATCCAAATGATATTTTTCCTCAACATGAGATATGATTATCTGTCTGTCATCATCTTATTCCCATTTCCTTTGCATCGCACTGGTTACAGCTGATGATAGTGGCCAGGGCAGTGTAGCTGTCTCTTCATATATATTTCATTGTTAATCAGGAATTGAAAAATAACAGTGCAGTGAGCTTGCTTTCATACAAATAAAATTCAGTTTACAATGAGCATTTGTTTGTACATATTGCAGGCATGATAAAGATACATGTACATGTACATGCATATATGTATATCATAACTGAACTACCATTTCTTGCACTACATTGAAGCTTAGGCAAATTACAAGCACAAATGTCAAATGCTGCATACAAAACTGTCAAAATTTAAAAATTATTCTTAAAAATCAGAACATGAATGGTTGTGTGTATATATAATATCGAGGACAGATGTAAAATAATTGTTTTGGTTTTTAATACTCCTTTTCATCAATAGCATCTCCAAGCCCAGGGTTCTAGTTGCAGCTGCCGATGGTTTCATCTACATCTATAATCTTGATCCTACGGACGGAGGAGATTGTACATTACTCAAGCAACACAGGTATAATCTTGATCTCTGGAGTTGCAAGTGATGTATAGAATAATTAATTTGTAGACAAAATTGGAGTTATGTTTGTTCTTTCTATTCAAATTTTTAAAAAATTCATGTCGGTCTATTTTAGGTACCTAGTTTAGAAGAGATTTCCTCTTCTTTCGACGTATATCTATAGGATACCCAGAAAGTAATGGTATTGTATACCAAGAATAGAACTGTAAGGTAACCCCTTTTGGGATGTCACCACCCAATCTCTAAAGTAACACAGTTAACAGACGTTAGCCGATTTTAGTGGGTATACCGAATGTCTGGAAAGTGGGCATTGTGCGCAGTATTGATACATTGTGTCATGGGACCTATACCGGTAAGCTAACGCTAAGGTTCGGAAATGTTTCTACATAAATATGAAGGCAAGTGTACCCAGATAAATGCATGTCTTGAGATGGAAACGCTATTCCATTAGCGCCATTGTTATAATCAGAGGATGGTGTGTTTCTACAGAAGCGCGTACCGGGAAATTCCGGAAAGTAATGGAAAGTAACAGCATTTTTTAATCCCTGTAGGAACATGCTATTTCATTGTCATCTATCCTTTTTATGGGAACCGGGGTTCTTGTATGAAGCTTAGGGGAATGAGAGAATTCAGTTGTCTATTGGGTTTAAAAGAAATCTAATACCCATTACCATCACGTAACAGGTTAGACGGACAGACTGATGCAGGGAGCGGGGGTCTCGTAGGGAATTAGGAGAATTCAGTTGTTAATTGGGTTTAAAGCCCCACTGCACTAGTTTGGCCAGGAGGGATTAGACCTCCCTGCATGGTTACTGACAGGTGGTTATCTCATCAAATAAGCTCTCAATTAATATTTAAAAAAGAGGATCATGGGGGACCAATGGTCACCGATTAGGCATTGTTTCTATGTAGAGGGTGCAAGTAGCCATAAGTAGTGCAGTGGGGCTTTAAACGACATCTAATACCCATTACCATTATTAAACAGGTTAGAGGGACAGACTGATGCAGGGAGCGTGGGTCTTGTAGGGATTAAGAGAATTCAGTTGTCAATTGGGTTTAAAAGACATTCAATACCCATTACCATCACGAAACAGGTTAGACGGACAGACTGATGCAGGGAGCGGGGGTCTTGTAGGGATTAAGAGAATTCAGTTGTCAATTGGGTTTAAAAGACATTCAATACCCATTACCATCACGAAACAGGTTAGATGGACAGACTGATGCAGGGAGCGGGGGTCTTGTCGGAGCCACAGCTGGAGGATCAGCAGGAGCAGGAGAAGGAGCCGCTGGAGCTGGCGGTGCTGGATCCGACGATCAGAGTGACGGAGAGCAGGCTGCCATGGGGTACTCGCCCGCTCCTGCCAAGACGTTTGCCTCGGCTACGGGAGGATCCAGGAACGTGGATCTGCTTTCATCATCACCTCACAGAAGCCCTGCTAGAGGTGAGTATAATGATTGCCCCCCCCCCCCCTCTCAAAAAATGAAATGGAACCTCCTATTACCAATCATGTGAAAGAATATGTTTTGACTAATAAGTGATGATACAAATTTTGCCGGGAAATCACCCACTAATTGATATATTTGGTAAGTTATCATATTGATCCGGCCTGGATAGATATTGCGTATGCACTTCTGAAGGCAATATTTAATAACAATATTGAATGGATATTTTCCACCCAAAACCCTTGAACTGCAATTTTACCACTACAGGTCTTTAACTGCCTTAAAAACTGGCTGTCGAAAAATGAAATGATGTATTTGTGCTTCACAATTCTGTCTTTTAGCACACAGATGAGTAAGTAAATTTAGGGACCCTTGCTCTATGCAACTACATTTTTCACTCCACTTTCCACTCATTTACTCATGAAATGATTTTGTTGTTGCTACATTTACTGCATCGTATGCGAGACGCTCTATTCACGTTACACTTTTGAGTACCTACAGTTGTAGTGAAACGTTATATAGCCCTCTATATAGCAAACAATGCCTAATCGTTGTCTGTTGGTCCCCCATGATCCCCTTTTTCTTATGTTAATTGAGAGCTGCTTTGATGAGATAACCACCTGTTAAAGAACTTGCAGGGAGGTCTAGTCCCCCTGGTCAAACTAGTACAGACAGGCTTTAATCGGTATGGTGCCACCAAATTTGCAAACATGCATCATGCGCAGATGAGGTATCACAAGTTCACAGCACCAGATTTTAGTTGGAGGTTTCTTTTTCCATGTAAATCTTGATACAAGCAATGTTCCATGATATCAAACTTAACAATACAATAGTTAGTTTTTAAATTCAAGAAGAAAAGCCAGTTTTTCTTCATCCAAATATATTGGATTAAACAATAAGCTTTTTTGAAGATGAGACTCTAGATGAACGTCAACTGTTTCTTTCTGTATCCTCAGAGCCAATGATACCCAGCACGGTGGACCACAGGCACGACGAACTCTTAGTGACCGCCGATGCAGACGACAACCAGTTCGCTGCCCCTGGTATAGCCGCAGGACTCAACCAACTACGCTTGGACGACGACAATGAATTCCCTCCCATGATGCAACACACGGAATGACCGCATTAAGACGGTCCGGATCCAGTCTTGCGTACGTCTTTGTCATTGTTCATGTGACTGTGCAAATTCTAAACCGACTCCGCTCGTCCTCCGTGGAGTCTATTTTTATGTGCAAGTGGGCATACTGCTGTTATTATCAAGAGAAATATTAACCAAGATCTTACGTAATTTATCGACCCCCTTCCCCCTCCTTTCTCCCACCCATCAACATAAATTACATGGATAACGAATCATACATGCATGTATGACACTATGTACATTTGTTGTGCCGCATTGTATCTGTCTCTTGATTTCACACATTAGATTCTGTCGTAATTGATCTAGAATTGAGGCGGGGCATTTTCATCATTACTGTTAAAAGTCCAAAGGAACCTTTTATCTACTGTCTTTGTTTACCACACAAGGTTGTAAGTATGGATGGTGCCCATATCATCAACTTGGCTTCACCATTAAAGTATGCATTGATGATGCCTGTATTGAGAACACCAATGGCTCTCTCAGAATTTTTGTCGAGGGGTTTATATATAGGGCTATTCCGTGCAATGTGATGCGTCTTGAACAACACATGAACTTTGTCCATTTATTTCATCAAAAAATAAAAATTTCTTGATATGGCCATCAAGCAATGGCTCTTTCTGGCATTATCAACATTGTTAAATGTTCATTTCAAAATAGTATTCATTTTGAGGTGAACTAAATGGAAAAAGACTTGTGTTGTAATGGGACACATTTCCTGAGATTGCCCATAGTTGAAAATCTTCTCCACAAAGACAAATGCTTCAACGCTATATTTATTATACATGTAGATCCATGTATTGTTGATCGTATGGATACTCTTGCTTAACATATTTTCCTAGGATTCAAAACCTAACTACATCAGTCATTGGTGCTTTGCATCAGTTGTTTGCATGCTTGTGTTATCTGTTGGAAAATGGAATCTCATGTTATGCAGGGTTCTCTCTATTAGTACTGGTATGTTATTGTAGAAACTTTTTTGGCATTACAGTCATTCATGTACAGTAGTACCTCATTGCATTTCAGCATCATTTACCCAGTAGGTTGGAAGTTACACGAGTGTGTAAAATGTACTATTGCAATGATCTCTCCAATATGTATACATGTCTGTGAATTCACAAGCCTTGGTGAGTGCCGCATGAATTTCATTCGAGATCATCACGTAGGTGCAGTTGAGTGACCGCGCAGTCCTGCTACCATCAAGTCTGCCACAGTGAAACCTGTATAGAAAGACCACCCCCCCCCCCTGTCTATAAAGAGACTGAAATTTCGGTTTCCCTCGAATGTTGTCACTGAAACAAGCCCTGAAGGAACCTGTACATAAAGACCACCTGCCTATAACCGACCCCTTTTTTTCTTCCTTTAGCAGCCTTTGTATACAGGTTTCACTGTATTATTATAAACAAGTGCAAATACAAATACCTCTCTGACACTCTTCATACAACCCCTTTCTCTGTATATTCAGAGTAGATTAAAACTCTATCAGAAGGATCTACTTTGAGATATGAATAGTAAGTGCAAATATAAATACAGTGAAACCTGTGTATAAAGACCACTCATGGGAGACAATGAAACTGGTCTTTATGAGCAGGTAGTTTTTAAGTACAGGTTCCTGTTATACATTTTTCCATGAGAAACACAGTTCAAGGGAATCAAACATTGGGGTCTTTATAAACAGTTGGTCTTTCTATGCTAGTGGTCACTAAAGCAGGTTTGATTTTTCCTTTCTGACACTCTTCATGAAAACCCTTACCCTGTAGATTCAGAGTAGATTAGAAAAACTCATCCAGAACGAACCACTGTGAGATATGAAAGGAGAGTTGAGGTAACCAGAAATATGCACACATCACTCAATTCTAGTTCATCTTTAAAAAATCTCACTGTTGGAAAATAAGTGTACAAGTATCTGTCTTATCTGTGAAGTTACATTTTAGAAAATTTTACTTGGGAGGGTCACTGCAATTCAAAAAAGCGGAAGGTAAATTTAGAAAAAGAAAATCGAGAGTTTTCTTTCTTAAAAATGTCATTTTGATTCAAGAATTCATCATTTAATATTCACAGCGTTCGTCAGCCAGGCATTCTTGATATGGCAATATGAATACCGGGTTCTGATATTGGACACAATGTATTTACAGTCAAGAAATGAAATGGTAGGTTATTATAAACAGTAAGTTTTTACGAAAGAATCTGTCGTGGTTGAACTGTACATGTACAGTAAAGCAACATTCACGCATGAAAAGTGAACAGATGTGTTTTGCTCATGTATTGAAAAGTGTTAGGTTTTCTTTTTTTGTATGTCTATTTGTTTTCTTCCTATATCCAGATGTTTAAAAATGATTATATTTAGAATAGAAAAAATATATCTTTTGTTTCCTTTGTAAGAAAATGTTAGTGTAAGCGCATTGTCAATAAGTCTACAGTAGGAAGGATATAAGGAACAGGGATTTTTTTTTTTTTTTTTTTAATAACAGAATTCTGACTCACTTTATAGAAAGCCATGCATATTATCTCTTCTTTTTTTCTCTCAAAGGAATGGGGTGGGGGGTAAATTAATGGAGCAGGGCCTTTTGAAATACATTTCAGTGCTTGAAAGTTTGACATGAATGGCTACCTTAGATTGTGTGAATTGCTGTACATGTATTTATCTTTTGTGGTGAAGCTAAAAGAAGTCCTTGTGGTGCAAGTTGTTGATTTGGGTTGTTATTAAAGGGAGCTGCCCCCCCCCCCCCAATACACATGTAAACTGATAAATCTTAATAACTTTTTTTTTCAAGGGCATTAGGAAAATTGTATAGATTCTTTTTGCTTTTCTATGTGCTTCTGTGATGTGAATTTGGAAATGCTTGCAAACAAAAAAATTGTTTTATTTTAACATTAGTTGTTAATTGTACCTGCATGAACAAAAATGAATGCCCGACAAACACATAATAAAATAATTGAGAATCTCACTCACAATATGCACATTATGGAGAGTTATCCCTTAGCTAAGTGTTCCCTTTAATTTCTATTCAAGATGATTTCGTTTTTATGGCAATATAAACTCCTGATGAAGAAGAGGTTTCAGACTGTCATGAATTGTGAAGCATGTAAAATCTAAACAGAACGTGCAGCTTCAGGGGGCGTTACACACAACTTGTCATCAGTGACAAATGACAGCTTTTGTTATAAGCTACTGAAATCCTGCTTCTGATTGGTCATCAGCAGATTTGTCACTGATTTTTGTTATTCATCGTTGAAAAAAGGCTTTGTGAAACGGGCCCCTGGAGTATTTTTGCAAAGATTTAGTGGGATATGGAAAGCAGTCTACATGTATGTCAAATTCTCGTTATTCTTTCATGATTACGTGTGCTCTATGATTGGAAGAAGTAAAAAATCTAACGCTCTTTTTGTGTCTGTGATTTATGGCTGGCACTGCTAGCCATGAATATCTACTGCTTATATCTATGTCTTGGGGGTTAAAAACTTGTCTATGATATTATGAAGATGGCTTTGAATGAAGTGGATGCCAATACATGCTTGTCATATATGTAGTCTAATTGTTCTGTACATTTGAAACATATATATGAATATGTAAATTGTATTACAATACTGAAAAAAATCTCTATTACATGATGTAGATAAATGATTCATTTTCTTCTTCTTTTTTTTAAAAGCATTATTATAATTATCATATTACAGGTACTGATAAACAAGGAAGACATTTTGTTGTTACCTGATAATAAACTGATGTAAATGAAATAAATGCAACTGCTGAAAACAACAAAAAGCAATTAATAATGTCTTGTGTATTTCTTCAGGGTGAACTTCTTTGTTTTGTGCACTAATTAGAAGAGTGAGTTTAAATAGTGTTCATCAAAAAGTTTCATAAAATCCAACAAAATAAAAATAAATAAGAACATGTTCATGTTGAAATAAACTAATAATCAACAAACTTATCATCAAGATTTTAATGTTCAGGACTTTTTATGAAATCAGGTTTGGCCACATGCAATACAGCAAGATTTCAAATAAGCAATTGTGAATGGAAATACCAGTTTCATCATTATATCTCGCCCAAAGTCTGCAATGGCATTCTGGGTTGTGGATTCCAAGTTATCACCCTTCTTCCCCTTCAGTTCCTGAAAATAAACTACCGGTACTTCAGTTTTTCTATCAAATTGATTAGAGAAAGTATGAAGATTAGGGAATAATTAATGGGTGCTTACTTCAAATAACTTTCAAAAAATCAGGAATAGGATACCACTTTTCCTTTTGATGTGTAATGGGGGCAAAGTTTGGCAAATTTCTTTTTGAAAATAAAGAGATGGATCATCAGATTACATCAATACGATCACAAAAGAGAAACGATACAAGATTTAATTTGAAATCGTAAAAACTGGTAACGGTGTGTAAGCCATAGTTTCATAAGGGCCTTATTTTTGTGAATGTTTGTTGTATAATTAGAATAATACTGACTTTATTAACCCAGAGAAGCCTCATTAGCATCGATGCTGGTCTTCCTGAGTGCCCCGCCAATATTGATTGTCCCAGCAATTGCCAGGTACTGGATAAAGAGTTGCAAATGTGGATTTATGCCTTGCCAGAGGATGTTCGTACCGGACTGGGATTACAACCCTCAACCCTTGGACTAGGAGTCCAGTGGAATGAACCACTGCACCTTGTGGTATAGTTGTTCTATACACACGAACATTGAGCTGGTAATGCATGAGGGGACATGTATATGTAACTAGCCCGTGTCAATCAATGCAAAAATAACAATCACCGGTAGCAAAAATATCTCCTTTTCTATCATCCATGAAAATATTTTCACACGAATATGTTGTGCATGATGCAGACTTGAGACTTGATCAGATATGACGCGGCAAAACCATAATTTCAAAAGAAAATGATGACAAAGTGTAAAACACTTCACCTTTCTGTACCTTAACTACATCACAGAGCTCAGTGGATAGTAAATACGTGCATGAACTTCAGTGTGTGCAGTCGCCATTCGTTTAGAAGAAAAGAACCTGCAGGGTTGTTTTTTGTAACGGTTTAACGAGGAATATATGAACAGGCTTTTTCAACACTCTAAATGAGGACAGCAAATGGGCCATGATCATTAGACAAATGAGTAGAAATCTTTATTCATTATTTAACCTCTTTTCACCATGATAACAGAACATGATCTTATGATATTTCAGGTAACTCAAGCATTTGATGCTGTTACAAAAAAACAAGAAACAATAAACCATCTATTAACACAATCATTTCTTAAAAGTTTAACCATGTCTACGACATTCGACCAATATAGTTATATCAACCAGTAAATTGTACCAATCACCAAAATATGATTTGCTCTTGATCTTTTAAAGGGTTCCATGTGGCTATACTGGATTCAAGATATGAGCTTGACATATTATTTGTCCAAAGAGAGATGGCAGTTTAAATACACCCTCAGTATACATAAGAATGAGTTTTTGAGTCGACGAGTGTGTATGCACTCGCATAGAATAGGGCCCACATTGAATCCAGAGTTGGGAACCATCAGCACCATTTTATGTTGTCCTTTATCTTCTACCATTTTTATGTTAATAATAATAATAATTGTTACGTTATCCTTTATCTTCTATTTCAAGCTAATCATTTTTATGTTATCCTTTATCTTCTATACTCCACAACTTTTAGCCTTTAGAAAGAAAGGTAAAGTTTTTGAGGTTGATTTAATCCCTTCCAAGCTAATCATTTGTTAAGGTGATTGGTATACTTTAAAGGTAATATTTAATATTTTGACAAGGCTGGCTTTGGATGAAAACGAAACAAAACAAAACATCACAAAAATAAAACAATGCAAAAAAAATGCAAAAAAAGGTTGAATATTTGTGTTCATTTTCAAAATGAATAAAAAGAAAATGTATAGAATCCAAATTTATATGAAATTATAAATACATTATTCATACTGTGTCATAGATGTCACAGTGTAATGAAACATGATCTCTCTTCATCAAGTACTTTTGAAAGACTGAAAAAAAAGTAGAAAATTAATTTTTCATCTTCATTCCTTCAATGCTGTCTAGTAGAATTGTTTTGGTTAAATGCAATTTTTAGACACAAAGGCCCGAATTCACGAAGCAAGGTTTGAGCTCAAACCTCCTTTTGTTCTTTACAAACCAGGTTTGTAAAAAACGCGTAAAACGCGTCATATGACGTACGAAAACCAAGGTTTGTCGACAAACCTCCTTTGTGAATTCGGGTCTATAAGTATAACAGAGGCAAATTTACTTATGCCTACAATTCATATACTAAATTTGTTATTTTTTCACCAGGTACTGCCCACATCTAATAATCAATCTCATCTAATCTTATAATTGCTCTATTTAAGCCACTTGCATTGATTGAGAATATAGTTACTTTGTTCATATACTATTCCATAACTACATGTATCATACTGAGTTAATGGACAAGAAAGAATGTTAAACACTGAAGTTACTTTTTCATATATTGAACATATTGAATGAATGTGTTAATAAAATTATTTCTAAAATACCATGATACCATCCCCCCCCCCCCCTCTCTCTCTTCACTATCACCCCTCTTCGTCACAGGTGCTTTACATCGATGATCCAGGCACACATTCTAATCATGGTGGCAGGAACGAGCTGAAGCAAATTATAACCATGATACCACTATACTGTCAAGAAACTCTACCCCTTCCTTCAATATCACTCCTTCTTCATCGCACCTACTATACTTTGATGACTCGGGACATTCACAAGGCATGATTGCAGGAAACAGCAATTAAAGCACTGTATCCGTACCATTATTAGAAACTATAACCACCCACGCCACCCCCCCCCCCTCCCTATCTCAGCTATGTACCCCTATCCATCCACTCACACTCCTTCTCCATCGCCCCTGCTTTACTTTCATTGGCATAACCGGTATGATGGCAGAAAAAAAGTGATAACAACACTGTAACCATTATGCCATCAAGAAACTATGACCCCCCCCCTTTCATTTATCCACCCCTCCCCCATCTCATCACTCATCCCCCTCCCCAATACTCCTTTACTGCACCATCTTCATCTTAATCACCCAGGCCCACTCACAGGGCAAGGTGTCAGGGGTAAACTGGGGCATGGTAACAGTGATACCAGGCTTAGAGGCAATACCAGACCACTTAAGGGGCTGGTTGTACCCCAACATGAAGAGGCTGGTCTGGGAGCTGGGTATGGGGACACTGAGTACAAGCTGGTTGTCGGCTGGCCAGTCCAGTACGATGGCATAGGTAGCCGTAGTCTTGTTGGTGTACCTGCAATCAAACACAGAATTTGTTTTAATTATCCAATCCTCATATCATACTAGCTTGTCAAAATATTTATGAATATGATTTGGAAATGACAAGTGACTGTTGGCAGGACAGAGCTGACAATTTTCAGAATAAAGATTCAATGTCTATCAAGAGACCTGTTTACTAATCTTATGAATACTTTCTGAACAAAAGTTGCTCTTGACAACAAGCGTTGGCAGAGGCTTTCCTAACATAGCAACAACTAAGTATGCAAAGTGGATCCCATCTTTATAGAGATGCCATTATTCAAAAAAGGTGTATGAAAAAGCTGGGAATCAAAGGCTAGGGAGAGAAACATGCATAAACTGAAATACATTATTAAAGAGGTCTATTGTCTAGTCACTTATGTTAATATACAATGTAATGATAACAGCAATAACGCTTATGATATTGTTACTACTAATAGTCGTTTCTTGTAAAATGCAACATGTATATCCACCACATTTAAATAGAGGAGAGAACATAAATTTGTATACTTCCCGCCTCCAATTGAGTTGGACTACTGTCATTCATTCCATACAAATTACAACACTCACCAAATTCCTTCAGTGACGGTATCATTCTGAGCCCTCCAAGGCCTGGTTTCAAAGATGGCTTCTCCGTTGACCTTCAGCCAATCACCCATGGACCTTAGACGCTCCTCGAAGATGGGTACGATGCGACCATCTGCCGTCGGGCCAATGTTCATGAGGAGATTACCGTTGCAGCTGCACATGAAATCACAAAATCACAAATTTGGATGAATCTACAAAGTTTAATCTTAAACCAGTACCATGGGGCCAGTTCTCGAAACTGTCTAAAGTCTAAGTTCATGGGCATCCCCATAGAAATGTGTGTTAATTACTTGTATACAGTATGTTTCAATGGGCTGCCATGAAGTTGGACTTAAACAGCCTCCTGTAACAGCAAATTTAATAAAACAACATCAATGATTCTATTGCACATACAAGTATGCTCTTAAACTACTCACACATAAAGGTTTCATAAGCTTGCAAGGTTTAAGGTACACTGCAGTATTGACGATAACCAAAGAGACAGTATTTTTGGTAAAGGCACATTCTGCATGAAATTGCGGTTCAATAGCACTATTAAAGATATCACAAGTTGTCTAGGTCTTTTCCCAAACGGCAACCTGCATTCTATAGGGCGGAAATTGCCCACGCAATTTTTTTTTTTTTTTTTGGGGGGGGGGGTGCCTACATACTGAAGATGAACGGCACTGTGTGTACATACAGGATTCATTTTGAACTTTCACATGACACAGTTTAAAATGATTCCTTTTGGCATAGTGCGAAGGGAGGAGGAGAAACATTTGCTAGTGTTTTCACTTTCCAAATCATAGGGGAGTTACATTTTAGCCGATGGGTTTAAAGGTCAAAGGTTACCTGACAGTGCTGGCGAGTAGTTCAATGAGGTCATCCATGTCCAGGTAGTCAGCGAGTGGAGCGTTGCGTCTGAATCCCCAGGATACCTTGTCAATGGTCATACAGTTCTCCCACTTATGCTTCTGCAGAGTACCTGCAGCCAACATTAAATAGATTATTACAAACTTACACCCCCCTAACGTGCGTTCATTAATGATATATTTTAGTATTGTATGTGTAGAAGGGAATACCTGCAAATTATAATGTTTAATACTACTTCAAATGATGATTCTAATAATAATAACAATAACAACAACAATATTAATAATAATAATGATTAAAATAATAAATATATAGTACTACTACTACTACTACTACTACTAATAATAATAATAATAATAAAACTAGAAAAATAATAATAATAAAGATAATTTAGAACAAACATGATCACTCAAAAAGAGCTTAAGACACATATTTAAAAAAACATAATATGCATTTATATTCTGATTCAGGTGTTTCTCATCAAGTGAGTTTTCAGCTCTCTTAGAGGTTGGGTGACATCCAAATATAAGTTGATTCCTGCTGATGTGCAGGGCTGCATACAACTCATATTTTGTTATTCAAACATCTGAATATATTTCATAGATTTTTTAACATTGTTTTCTAAGACCTGCTAAGCTCCACCCTAAAAAAAAATGTTCCAGATCTCATTCATCTTGTGACCTCATCTGTCAATCATTAGTGAGCAAACAAGAGACAGTGGTATGTAGCTTCTCCAGAGCTGAGCACTTGTTTACTATAGACCATACAATACAAACATATGAGTTGCTGTAGCATCACCAGGAAAAGAAAGGTAATGTGGAGGTATTGTATGAAAGAATGCAATTCTTTTGTGAGCATGTGCTGAGCTGAGAGAAGTTACATACCACCGTCTCGTTAGCTCACTAACTATTGACAGATGATGTCACAAGATGAATGAGATCTGGAGCATTTTGTCTAGGGTGGAGCTTAGCAGGTCTGAGAAAATTATTGTTTTAAATACTTTAAAATCTAGGAAATATATTTAGATATTTGAATAACGAAATATAAGTTGTATGAAGCCCTGAACATCAACAGGAATCAACTTATATTTAGATGTCACCTGACCTTCAAATGACATTTCCTTTAAAGGTAGCATTTTATTCTTTTCATTTATTAATTAAGCGTAAATCTATTATTATAACATTTTGGAATAAATCACATTAGCAAGTTTCAAATTGGAAAGACAATTTTTTTTCGGTGAAAGTTTCAGGAACTCTGATAAAATTCAAGAAGTTTCTAAAATCAAGCAATAACGATCAAATAAAACATGCTAATTTATATGCCAACAGCCAATTCTGTTTGTTTTGTACTTAGAGTAATCATATTGGTTGATGATGAAGGAATAGAATAAAAATGGTTTGATAAATGTTTCCTCTAACACAAATATTTACAAAATTCTAAATACAAAAAACAAATGATCAACTCACAAAGGAAATCATTGGGTTAGTTTTCAGAATGCAGGTTAAAATGAGAGGGCAGGCAAGAGTGCAAGAAAAGATTAAGAAGTGAGAAATGTAAACATAAATTTTATTATTTTTAGAAAGAGAGAGAAAGAGAGAGAGAGAGAGAGAGAGAGAGAGAGAGAGAGAGAGAGAGAGAGAGAGAGAGAGGTGAATCTAAAATTGGTTTTAACTTGTGGTTACAATTATTATGTTGCAGGGAAAAGAAAAAAACAATCAATAATGAAGATAGAAGCTGAAGGAAACATGATGTATATCAACAACAAAAAAGGAGTCAAGCTAATAAACATTTGTTTACAAAGAACCAACAGAAGGCAATAAAAAGCATGAATTTATGAGACATTTTCAACAGAGCAGGCAATTTAGACCAAGAGACTACATTACATTATGGATGGGAGCTATTAGTTGATAAATTAATAAACCTGTTTCCAAATTCTATGCATACATTTTGAAAGAGGGTAGCTAGGGAGGGAAACGTGCATTAATTGAAATACAATAGAAAAAAGGGCCCATATTGATAAAACCTTACTAAGCCTAGCTGTCAACTAACTATAGCCTCTGTATTAAGTTGACAACTAGCTTTTTAAGGTCTTATGCATTTGGGCCAAGGGGGTAGGGAGGGAAAGCATGCATAAATTGAAATAATTAGTAGACATGCAGGGCCCATATTCATGAAACATTACTAAGCCTAGTTGTCAACTAACGATAGCCTATGTAATTAGTTGACATCTAGCTTTGTAATATCTTATGCATATCGGCCAAGGGGTTAGGGAGAGGTTAAAAGGGCCCATATTCATAAAACCTTACTACGTTTACTTGTCAGCTAACTATGTATACTATATAGCTTTTATAATTACATGTAGTTAAGAACTAGTTCAGTAAGGTTTTTACGAATATCGGCCCAGGTTTATTTTCCATGAAAATCATAGTGAGTGCTATGATTTTCATGAAAAAGCACCAACCTACCCGGGCTAAACCTGTCTCCGCAGGTATAAACTCCTCCATGCTTGCACATATCCCCGCTGCCCCAGCGATCATTGGTCACTACTTTGTCCTTCACAGGGCTATTTCATAAACAAAAGGTACCAGATAATTGAAAGAGATTCAACATGATTATGTAAACCAGGGCTTGGCACTAGCTAACAGGTGCTCAGAACATACATGTACATGTATGGGCATCCAAAATCTAGGTCCAAGGGGGTGTTTCACAAAGATTCGAAGTCGAACTTAACTCTAAGTTGGATGGACAGCCATTCGTAGCCTTATTTTGAAATATATTCAAAAGCAAAAATTCAAGTATTTTAGGCTTTTCATAAATTCCACATCAAGAACATGAAATCTCCCATCATAATAGAAAATATGAATGATTTGAATCAACATTTTATGCTTTTTAAAATAACTTTTACAAAATATATTCAAGGGTGCTAATGGCTTTCCATAATTGTTAAGTCCAACCTAGAGATAAGTTCAGCTTAGGATCTTTGTGAAACACCCTCCTGACCTCTAAAAGTTTCAAAATGTGGACATACCTGTTAGTGTTTAGTGTAGAGCCCTTTGTACAGTTTCTGCAAACTGCGTCTAAGCATGGGGCTATGTTTACTCCCGGAATGCACATGATCTTTATGCAATAATTACACTGCAAGCCATAGCTAGGCAATGAGAGCTATTTGGTGATAAGCAACTTTTTTTAAACTTTTTAATATAATTTTTGATGATAAGCAATTTTTTTTGTTTTAATATTTAATTTAAATATTGTTGACATACCAGGATTGTACCTATCCTGACAGGTATAGTATCCACCATGCTTGCATTTATCGCCTGCACCCCATCGATCATTGGTCACTATTTTATCCTTCACCGGGCTAGCCCACAAACCAACAGGATTAAAAACACCTCGAGAATGAAAGGGCAGAAACTCAACTTTCTAGAAATGTGATTTTCTCTTTGAAATTCAGACTGGGGATACCGTCCACCAAATGACTTCTTGGTTTCCTCTCTTCAAATTCATTTAAATCACTCATGTGTGAAATATGCATTATATGAGTTGCATCAAATGAAAGAAGAGGATCTAAGCTTTCCAAATATGTGTCATTTATCAATTATAATTGTGATTTAGTAATGATAAAACATCAATAATTCTCGGTTTCGTTTTATCTGAGACGCACTGTATACATTGTATATGGAACCCCTAGCATAGCCTACAGAGCAAAATCTATTTTAATGATTGGTACACTTAAAATCCCTGCATAGAGTTAAAAAAACGTAGAAGGCACATGTAAGCTACTGGACCAATGATAATACAGACATTCAATGCAATTTGGAAAATGAATATGTACACGAGGTAGAATTGAGTGATAGATAAACATTTCTACTGTCCGTATTGTAGCAAAAGTATTAATTTATCAAAACGTACACTGTGTTTTCATTTTTAACTAACACATCTGTATCCCTTTTCAACTCCAAGGAAGTATATATATCAGACAATGAATATTGAATTAATAACAATTATTACTGGTAACAAGGTATAATGTCATATACAATGTACATGTAATAATGTCCAACCATGAATCTATTCAATTTGTAAAGAAATTTTGGCTTGCACCCCTCATAGCTGGTCACTGGTCACTGACGGGCTTGCACCCCATTAAAATAAAAATTGTATGCTTATTCTTGTAATTAAAATCAACAACAAAGTTTTGGGCAGCGACTCTAACACCAGGCCATCACTGGTCCATAGCACAGTCATGATGAACTGGAAATAAATATCTCAGCTCTCCTAATTCTGGCCTTATGAATATTTATCAGGTCACCATTAATATGACAATAGGCTAGCTTTGAATGTTAGGCTTCCATCAAGTATTTCCAGTTTGTAAAGAAACAAACAGCTTGCGCCCAGTATGGATCTATTCTAATAAAATATAATAATGTTCAAATATCAATCTACTCTATCTGTTGAGTCTAAATACCTTGAGTTGTAGAGCCAGGCCAAGAACTCTGTGCTGTTCCAATAGGTATCGGGGGCTTCCCAGTCTCCATCAGACCAAAGAACATCAGGCTCAAATGTATTTACGATCTCCATCAACTCAGGCCATAGTACTTTCTATAATACGAACATAACAAATAGAAAGCAATGAATGAAGAATGAATATGAATTTAGTTGCATATTCTATTCATTTTAACTACTTCATTATCCACTGACCAAACTGCTAATTTGAGATTTGCATAGACTTAGTGATCTCATATTTCAAACATTCATAACTCTCTTATAATTGGTACTATTTATTTATTTTTAAAATCAGAAGTATATCACAATTGTGATTCACTCCTACTGAAATACAACTCATATTTCGTTATTCAAACATTTAAATATACTTCATAGATTTTAAAGTATTTTTTAAAAAAAATTCTCAGACCTGCTAAGCTCCACCCTAAACAAAATGATCCAGATCTCATTCATCTTGTGACATCATCTGTCAATAGTAAGTGAGCTTACAAGAGACAGTGGTATGTAACTTCCCCCAGCTCAGCACATGCTCACAAAAGAATAGCCAAGAATAGCACTTTGCCATTCTGTTTATCTGCTTTCTGCTTTCATACAAATGAACTTGTTACGAGGGTTGGATTGCCCTATAAACTCCTCTTTAATAGCAGACGAGTCTCATGATAAACACCTTACCTCACAGTACTCCTGGGTGGTGAAGTTATTAGCCTTGTCTTGCAGATACAGAGGGTTAAACCACTCATAAAGTGAATGGTAGAGTCCAAAGTGAATGTCAGTTCTGTTCCTTACGGCAGCAGCCAAATCACCTGCATGGAAACAAAATAAAAACTACTGTGTCATCCATTTCAATGACATGATTTTAGTTATCAAAGTCAGTGATACCGGTACTTGATGAGGTAATCCCTGAAACAGCTTTTCCAACTGTGATGGTATCAAATTGTTTTAATATTGTCATTGCTTGCTAGAACTATCTTTTGCTGAAATTGTATTTTCATTGCAATTTTGCATACATTAAATATGAATAAATGGGATTGGTACAATTAAACATATTTTTTTTAAATACATGATTCATTCATTTGTAATCATTTTGATATCAAACCGGAATCTGGTCCTTGTCCAATTTGCTCAAGATGTCTTTAAATATTCTACAAATATGAACATGTATATATCCTACGTACAGATTAAAGATTTCTAATTATGAAATATTAGTACCAGTAAGTGTAAAATGCACTAATTATGCCTAAATATCCAATCATATCATACTCATAGTAAATTTGTTGAATTCAATCAAATTCCATTACAATCTTCAGCATGAATTCATGAGCAAACAATTCTATTTCAATTTCATTCACTTTTAAAACTCATGTAAGGTCTACTGTACACGTATGTCAGCAGCTCTTTGATAAATCTATGTAAATTCTTTAAATTTTCACTTTTTAAGGAATTGTCTGCCCCACCCCCCCCCCCCCCCCCAAAAAAAGGCTTTCTTACCGACAAGATTTCTTTTTGGTCCAACGTCCATTGAGTTCCAGTTCCAGGAATATTTTGAAGGCCAGTTTGTGAATCCTTCATGATGCTTGCTGGTCAGTACTACATACCTAGTGGTAAATTCAGATGAATATCATTAGATAAGCACTCCATAATACTCAGTATTAGAACATGAACTTGAAAATGCAATATTAATATTGTTAACATTTTATATATTAGCTCTATTTATATTAACAGAAACAACACCCAATGCCAGGGGATTACCCAAAGAAACAAACTTCTATTCAATGGCTCTCCTCAGTCATTGGTTGTTGTTTTCAGGCAAGTAAGATTAACATGACTTTAATTCTAAAGTACCGGTAGACGGGGAGCTTTCCTGTTTCAAAGCTGAGTTGAGTTGATTTTGTTGACTCTTTTGACTCCCTAGTTTTAGGGTAAGACAGTATAATCCATAACATAAGCATATCAAGGTGTGCATGTAGATAACATTAAAATGAGAAGAAACAATAAATACATTCATTTTCAATAAACTACAGTAGATAAACAGTGAGCAAAATGCAACAAACATACATGTATTACAAATCAAGAGCACAATACTTTAGTAGATTTGAAGAATAACAATTGAGAGAAACATCAAATTGAGGGTTAGGGCACAAGAAGACTTGAGCAAAAGTTTAGTCTTAGGGTTGTTAGGCATTTCAGGGTAGATCAAAAAATCAGTCTACATTATTTGGGGATATATTCCAACGAGACTACATGTTCGTCCGGCTTCACTAAATCCTTCTCCTCTTGACTTGGACTTGGAGGAGAGCATGAAAGAAAAATTAATGTTTAACTCCTCCAATCCAAGCTGACATATTTTCTGTCTAGTCTGATGGGAGCTAAATTGTCTGTTTTATAGGCAATACTGTCATTTCCATCCTAGCAATGGTTTTTTACTTGCTCATCACCATTTTATTTATTATTAGAAGTTTAGTTTTTTACACAGTTTTGTTGTTGTCTGCAGCATATCACCTGCTGTCACAACACAGTTTAGCTTCAGAATATATCTCATCAACGTCAAGATTAAAACACCTTACAAGTTCACATATTAAATATTAATAATAACACCTGATGAGCAGATGAAAAAAACAAATACGTATATTTACTTTGCTCCTGATGCTTTTAGAATATCTGCCCATTGATTAGGATCAAAGAATTCGGCCCTGAAACTGGCAGCAAAGTCGGCGTATGTGAAATCAGGTCTATAATTGTCCTCCATGAACTTGACAATATCAGGATGCGGGTTACTGCCCTTCCAATCCTCCCAAAACCACTCGGAGGAAAAACTCGGTACGCTGAAAACCCCCCAATGGATGAAGATACCGAACTTGGACTGGTCGTACCAGGCGGGCAGGGGCCGCGAGTCAATCGAGTTCCAGTTGGGTTGGTACTGAGCGTTCGCGCTCGAGCAAACCGCGAAAAACACGACCAACAGCACCGGAATCAAACCGATAAACGAAGAAATTTTCCGACGATCCATATCTATGACTTTTAAACCATGCAGATATTATTAAATTTATCAACTCTTTTGGCTGGATGTGCTTATATCACCAAAATTGATTCAAGCCGTTCCTCCACGGCTAAAGTAGATCACGTAAATAGAAAAGTTTGTGTAAGAGTTGTCACGTGACCATACAATGTCACATGATAAGTGAGAGGGGGTGTGTCAGGATTGGTTTATGGAAGGGGTGTGGTAACTACGTAATCAGGACAGCGGGCTGCGCCTAGATATTGGTGGATTTAAACAACCACGAAATAAAGTCGAACTTTTCAATAATCGACAAGATTTGTAACTCACTTGTGCATGATTTTTCCAGATCGACATCATTGAATTTCTTTTCTCCCGGCCGCCCCACGTGCATGCAAGTTCCTAAAGGTGGGGAGGGGAGGGGAAGGGGATCGGGGTGAGGCCGGAGGGGGCCCCTCGATCCTCTCAATGAAGTTGATTGGAAAGGCATCACATTTCTTGCTCATCGTGATTTTATCTTGATATTCAAGGCAGATTCATAACAACTTGCTTGGTTGTTATTATTTTTATTATATAGGCCTACGGCGGCATATCCGGCTCCGAAAGTTGGCAGAATTGTCCACTTTTGTCTAAAGGGGCCAAAATTAATTGGTACAGTGGTGAAATACGCTACATGATGGAAAAAAAATTTGATGTGGAAGCACGTTTTAAAACGACTTTATTGGAAAACTGTTATAAGGAAATTGCAAGGGTAAAATTTGCCCAAATAATTATATAGATAACTCGATCATCAGCTACTATTATATATATTCGGGTTTCGGAGCCTACGGTAACGTTCCAAATGCATATAGCACAGGCGGCGGTGACCCTGTAAAATATAAAGAGATATATACCGCCTTCAATTTTTATACCGTTTTTTGTGGATATAATCATGGGAGCGCGCGGGCCGTCAGCCGTGAATCTACATACCCAGAATTAGCTTTCAAATATAATTTTTGGAATATTTTATGTGAAGGCATTTAATTGTTAGAAATCATACTTTTGATCTTCCAGGTGGACAAATAAAAATAGGGGATTATACATTGTCCCTTCCATCAAGGGTAATTTATAGGTATATATTTATCTAAAACATCATTTTCACGTTTGTTTTTCTTTTAGCTTATTTTCTTTTGTTACTTTTTTCATTTTGTTTCTTTTCTTTGGGTTCATTCTATATTCTTAATATACATGCAGTGCGCCTCAGAAAAAAACGAAACCGAGAATTATCGATGTTATATCATAACTTAATCACAATTTAGGATTAATAAATGACACATAAAATTATAGTCTGTAAAGCCTCGATCCCCTCTCTCTCTCTCTCTTTCTTTGATGCAACTCATATGATGCATATTTCACGCGCATGAGTGATTAAAAACAATTTAAAGAAATGGTATCAAAAAGGCATTTGGCGAATGGTCTCAATTTCAAAGAGAAAAATCACATTTCTAGAAAGTTCATTTTCAGCCCTTTTAATTTTATATGACACCTCAATCAGGAAAATGAGCCAGGAATAACAAAGTTCTGTTTGTTAAAGTAATGCTTGCTTTTCCATAATTTTATTAAACTAGGCACCAGCTGTCTACCCTAACAACATATAAAACGAAAGACTGCATGCATGGATGATCGTCAACGAAACAGAGTTTGTTGTTTTTTTGCTACGGCAGGCAGCCAATGAAAACAAATTCGTTTAATAAAATTATGGAAATGCAAGCAAATAATCTAACAGGACTTAGTTATTCTTTGCTCATTTCTCCTGATTGAGGTGCCATAAGGGCAGAAAATGAACTTTGTGGAAATGTGATTTCTCTTTGAAACTCAGATACCAGGATTTGATAATAGCACTCTTTTATTTTGGATACAAGGCTCTGTCCTGTAAGTCATGTTTATCTCAGGACAAGTAAAAACATTGTAGAGGCATGTTTTCCGACGGATTTTTATTTTAATAATTCAAGTAAAGTAATACAATGTATTTCTCAGAAATGCAGGGAGTTAATATTGTTCCAAAGGCGTGGGGCAACAGATTGAAAGGATAATTATGAAGCCAGCCTGTTTTCGGGATTTGGACAAAATTAACAAGACGTTTTCTTCTCTTTTACTTTCTTTTTCTATTCTTTTCTGACAATGTGGAAACTAAATTGTTGTCCAAATTGTCTATTATCAGACCACCCAAGTGAAACACAAAAAGTGGCCACTGTGGACAGGTGACCTTCCTAAACAGGTTCGACCACTATAGACAGGTAGCCTTTATAAAGAGGTGGCCACTTTTAAGACAGGTTTCACTGTACTTTATACTGATATTTTACTCTTTAAAAAAAACAACTTATACTTATTTTACTTCCATGTCTTGAATTCAAAATAACATCAAACAAACAATGATATAAAGAAAAGCGAGTTGTAATATTTATTCCATACATGATACATATTGACTAAACTTGCTTGCACAAGAATCTTATTTCAGTTCAACTAATAGCAGCCCTTAAAGGGACGTGGTAACATTGTTCAGATGAGAGAAAATGGTGCAACGGTAGTGACTTCAATGCTAGATGTACAATTAAAGATAATGAGTGAAAACAGACCATTATGATGATAACAATTAGGATAATTCAAAAATTGGTTGGGAAAATTTACTTTTAGAAGGAGTTACACATTCAAAGGAAACCATAAATATGTTTGTGGTTTGAGATTTTTGTTCAGGGTTAGTACAGAGAAGGAATATAATAAGTAACATTTCATACAACTATTAGGTGGTTTTTAAATAATCAAACCCTGTATCAAATTTTTAACTGGTAATTACTTCAACATCTGCCACATTGATCATCAAAGGTAGTAGTAAATGTTTTTGATGATGCAAAATCATCTCCAATTTGTAAAAAGCAAGATAAATGACAAAAAGAAACACAAGGTCTAATATTTCTCAACTTGATAGTGTTTTAGACGTTGAAGATTACCGACATTTTCGTCAATAAGCTTTTGCTCTTTTTAGGCACTTTAGCACACCAAACATGAATCATTTAACTTTAAACTTTCCAATGTGTTTCATTCAAGAATTTTTGCCACTGATAATATACTAAATTGAAACACTTATTTTCACATCGAAATGTGGAATAAACAGTTTTTCAAAGAAAATATCCAACTTGTAATTGAGGTGACCAGACTTTAATCATGACGAGCAGTAAAACCACAAACTTCCATGATATGAAGCTTTTGTGAATCCTTAAACGAAAATGGATCTCCCATGAACATAAAGAAAATTTTGAATTGAAAAAGGAAACATTATTAACATTAATTTGTTTCATAGCATGAAACTGGCACGTCTGTGCCACCCACAAAATAATTGAAGTTTCTGGTCTTACAATTCCTGTTAAATATTTCCGAAGCACATACATCCCAGGCTATACCCTTTACCAATATACATATAAGAAAAAAAATGTTTAGTGGGCTCACAGTCAGAGTACCCAAATATAGCATACAAAAAAAATTGTCCTTTTTCAAAAAGGTAACATTAGCATTTACATGACAATAACAAATACAATTGTAGATATTTCTTAGAGAATGCTTTACTAGTCCAAATATAACCAACTAAAGCACTTATACTACATGTATATTCCAATAGGAATTATAATTATATAGCTCAGAGCTGACGACACAAAATTGTATTGACATTGAAATAGAAAAGTAATGAATTTATTTACATCAGAAATTGCATTTCTTCTACATTTTTTGGCAGACCGCATCATCATCATCATTCAGCGTCTGTTTTTCTTACGCTGTGGGGTTTGCCTTATGACCATTCTCCAAGCTTCTGGTCATTAACATCTGCCTGAGTGAGATCGGATGCTCTCATATCTTCTTATATTGCATCATAGTCCTCTTGAAAGACTGGCTAATGAACTTTTTATACTCCACATTATACGTTCCTCTAGGTTATATGTGAAGTATATATGATTCTATATAGTTATTCTCTGTAACCAAATTAAAAAAAAGCAAGACTCTGTGCCGTCTCTACAAACTATAGATAATGTACGTGGCCTTGAGTTGTATCAAATATTTTTTAATATATATTATATTATGTACATGTGAATCTTAAATTGGTAATGCAGCTGCCCAGTATTGTAAGTTATTAAAAAAGGTGTTCTAAATGGTCTAGAGCATACTTTGCTGTAGTGTGAATCACATGGTTCATAGTTCGGGTCCCGCTGCAACATTACCAAATGCCCACTCTTTGTGCCCGTTTTAAAATAGCCCAACTCCATTTCGAATAGGGACCACCCCCTCCAATCACACACCTTCTTTATTGTACCTGCTTCAACCATGCCTATAATATTGAAAAAAGGAGACTACCCAACCCCAATCCCCACCCATTCCTTGTACCTGCTTAAAACAGCCCTACTCCATTATGAATAGGGGACTACCCCCCCCCCCCCCACCACCACCACCCCCCTTTCAATCCCAAACCCCCTTTATTATTTGTATCTGTGTCCTGCTTCAACTATGCCTAGTCCACTATGAATACTAGACTACCCCCCTCCCCCCTCCCCGAAAATAAAATTCTCAGCCAATGCTTGTACCATAACTTCTTTAATTAGCTCTTCTCCATTATAAATGGGGGACCCACCCCTTCCCCCTCCACTCACTCATTGACTCCTTGTCCCAACTGCCCATTCTTCTATGAATAGAGGACTACCCGACCCCTCATCCTCACCCAAACCTTGTACCTGCTTAAAACAATCCCACTCCATTATGAATAGGGAACATATTTCATGTAAGTGTCTCACCACCCCCCCCCCCCTCCTCTTCCCCTTCACTGCACCATCTTCATTTGAATCACCCAGGCCCACTCACAGGGCAAGGTGTCAGGGGTAAACTGGGGCATGGTAACGGTGATGCCAGGCTTGGAGGTAATACCAGACCACTTAAGGGGCTGGTTGTACCCCAACATGAAGAGGCTGGTCTGGGAGTTCGGTATGGGGACACCTAGTACAAGCTGGTTGTCGGCTGGCCAGTCCAGTACGATGGCGTAGGCAGCTGTTGTCTTGTTGGTGTACCTGAATTCCAACACAAAATAATTGTAAATTCATACAAAAACTTCTTTAACATTGCACTTTCGATTACCTATTTCAATTTGTTAGACCATAAACACACTGATCATTTTCCTCATCTGCTTCCCTAGGTATTACAGTCATTAGATAATCTAACATCATACTCCTACTGACAACTTAGCTATTTGACTTTCAAAGATATTATTTTCAATCAACTTCTTTACAATCTTCTCCTTGATCAGGCTTGCAATTCTTAATGAATTTTGTTATTTTACTACATAACATCTTTGGTGAACCGATTTTTAAAAAAAAAATTAAACTTTTTTTTCTGATAACAAAAATCAAATACATCAAAGTTTATCGCAGAACATTTCCATATTCCTCATTGATAGTTGGAATAGTGCTAGATGTAAAAACAGTATTAACTTTATATGGTAATCAAGACAATTATACACAAGGGGTATAATTCTGTTGTTGTTGTTGTACCTGATGTATGCCAATTGGGTTTCCGGGTCAAGTTATGCCACTCTCAAATATGCCACTGATGCCCAAATGTAACTTTCTCCAACGACTGGGCCTGTTGCATAAAACTTACCATTGATGGTAACTTCGCCCATCAATGGCAACTGCCATGGTAACAGCCCTGGCTCAACAGCCAATCAAAATCAAGGTTTCCATGGTAGTTACCATTGATGGAAAAGTTATACCATCAATGGTAATTAGCTTTGTGCAACAGGGCCCTGATGTTTCAATTATCAACTTCCGTTCATATATTCTTAAAAATAAACTCACCAGATTCCTTTAGTGACGGTATCATTCTGAGCCCTCCAAGGCGTGGTTTCAAAGATGGCTTCTCCGTTGACCTTCAGCCAATCACCCATGGACCTTAGACGCTCCTCGAAGATAGGTACGATGCGACCATCGGCCGTCGGGCCAATGTTCATGAGGAGATTACCGTTGCAGCTGTAAATGGGATCAAAATATCAGATATTTGTATAACCAACAATTTTATAAATTTATTTCTTTTACATTTAAAATGGACCATCACCGACTTTCTGAATTTCCCCTGACAGACAGTGGGTTTTTTTCTTTCTGCCACCCATATGACATGAAACATACCCATAATTATAATTGAAATTTAATTTATAAGAGTTTCCAGTGATATGCACAACAAGAACCTGTACATAAAGATCACCTGCCTACACAGATGAGGATCCTTGTCTCCATTGAGTGGTCTTTATATACAGGTTCCACTGTAGGATTTTTCTTTGCAGACCTCATCATTGCTACAGGTTCAAAGGTCAAAGGTTACCTGACAGTGCTGGCGAGTAGTTCAATGAGGTCATCCATGTCCAGGTAGTCAGCGAGTGGAGCATTGCGTCTGTATCCCCAGGATACCTTATCAATGGTCATACAGTTCTCCCACTTATGCTTCTGCAGAACACCTGAAGCCAACATTTAAAAATAAATATGACTTAAAGCCTGTCTGTACTAGTTCGGCCAGGAGGGATTAGACCACCTAGCATGGTCACTGACAGGTGGGGTTTCTCATCAACTCAGCTCTCAATTAACATAAGAAAAAGAGGATCATGGGGACCAACGGGCACCGCTTAGGCATTGTTTTCTATACAGAGGGAGCAAATAGCTACAAGTAGTGCAGTGGGGCTTTAATCTCCACTCTATCATACTCGTAATTCTTATTAGAAGTACTATCGGCAGAGGTCTTTCCCACAAGATGCTCACTGCAGTCTAAATATAATTCAGATGATGTATTGAAGAATGAATGACCTATATTTCAAACACAGAAAACTGGCTCCCACTGGCATACTTAAAAAGAGTGTACAAGCACTACAATACATAACATCAATAGAACAATTCAAAGAGACATGCATCATTAAACACATAACTACTCAAATACAGATAGTGAGAGAAATATAAGAGGAAAGTGGAGAAGGAGCGAAGATCTTATTGCATCTACTAGTCTTCTCACTCACTTTTATGAATACTGCAACTGTATTTCAACTTGCAATATCTTGATTATAGTGACACAGAAGCCCTTACTACAAGCAAACTATTTCTGTTATGCATTGGTATCATATGCTTTGTAGGCTTACAAGAAAAAAACTTTAATGTGACAACTTTCTGTCCTTTTTCTTCTTCTTGTGGGTCACATTTTCATTACAAGAACCAAAGACAGTCTTCAAAAGAGGAAAATACTTGAAATGGCGAGAGTATCAGTACAGAGTACAGTGTGTGTCATAAAAAAATGAGACCTACCGGGGTTATACTTGTCCGTACAGGTATAGTACCCTCCATGATGGCACCTAATCCCAGCTCCCCAGCGATCGTTAGTCACGACAGTGTCCTTCACCGGGCTGAAATGAAAAAGAAATTACTCAGTTTTAGAGTGAATCAATAATGTTCTGTGTAGTACACAGCCCTAAAAGTCTCTATAAATCAAACTGAAACACTCAATATCATTCAGCACTAGTAAAGCAGTGCAAACAAATCACTCCACAATAATATTTGTATTTTTGTTACATCCTGTTACAATAATCAATAGTATTAAGATAGTATCAATGCAGCTTCTATATCTTCTTACTTACATAGAAGCCTCTATATCAAACTTAAACACTAAAGATTATTCAGCACTAGTATTCAACTTATTAAAGAGCAACCATGTTTGAATAAAGCAGCACATAATTCAATCAATCAATCAATAAACAAAATCAAACAAATAAATACACAAGTAAGTAATGAAATAAATGAATAAATAAGTAAATAAAGAAAAAAAGAAGTAAGTAAGTAAATAAATAAGCAATTTTATGACTCTTTGCTCTACTGTACCTGGAATTGTAGAGCCAGGCCAGGAACTCTGTGCTGTTCCAGTAGGTATCAGGAGCCTCCCACTCTCCATCAGACCAAATCACATCAGGTTTGTATGCATTCACAATTTCCAACAATTCGGGCCATAGCACTTTCTACGTTAGACCAAAACAAATATAATAATAATAAATAATAATAATGATATCAATATCAATATCAATGATAATAATGACAATAATTAATAATAATAATAATAATAGCAGATTGTATATATGTTCATGTTTGATATTCTGTCGATTTTGTTCTAGTTTCGTTAATCCTAAATACAAAGGGGGAATTAAGGAGAACTATAATCCTTTACATTTAATAATGACCTTCAAATTTCAACACTTCTTCCAAATACTGTATTATAAGGATAATAGTAATCAAAATGGTGGTGATGTTTTATAAGGATACTAATAATTATTATACTGAATGTTAAGTCAGTATTTCTCTCTCGGTAACTATACTCTCTCATATAACAATATGAAACTGTAAATAGGCCCTACTTTCAAATATATGACAAACACGGTACCTGGGTATGCTTGAACTGGACAAATTGTAATATTCCAGTAGGATAATATTTCGTTTAGGGAAAGGAGGGGGAGGCAGCAACAACAACAACTGAAATGGGAAGGATTATTGAAGCCCTGTAGAGATTGCATCATAATAACAACAGCAACAGCAGCAATAACGATGATGATGATGATGATGACGACAACGACGACGACGACGATGACGATGATGATGACGATGACGATGATGACAATATTTAAGAGGAGACACATATATTTGTAATTTTAAGGGGAGTGGGAAAATGACTGAAAATGACTTCTTCTTCTTGTTAATCACTTTTACTAAAACACTTTCCGAATATTAAAGCTTACCTCACAGTACTCCTGGGTGGTGAAGTTATTAGCTTTGTCTTGCAGATACAGAGGGTTAAACCATTCAAACAGTGAATGGTAGAGTCCAAAGTGAATGTCAGTTTTGTTCCGTATGGCAGCAGCCAGATCACCTGTCATGGTAGATGGATGTAAACAAAATAAATAATTAATAACTCCAACAATGAGAACCATTGGCGTGTCAATCATGCCAATAAATTATCCAAATGGTTTTGTGAAGATATTTTTAGAACAAAGCTTAATTGGGAGTCAGTTTAATGTACATTTAACTGATTATACAAGAAGCTCATTGAAATATGCCAAGAAAGAAATGGATAACAAGTGAGCACTCATACCCTGCTAGCATGCTGCATTAATGTATTGTTATTGTTGTTACTTTTATTATCATCATCATTATTATTATTATTTTTGACTTATGTTTATTATTAGTTATGAGCAGTGTAAGAGTAGTTTGGGAAGGTAAGTTTGCTAAGTCAAAGAAAATGTCTTTATGGTTTCAATTACATCTGTAACATATCCCATGTTGTAATGTTTATTTATTCACTTTTTCTTTACTTTATAGTTTCGTTTACAATACAAAGATATATTTACTCCACAAAATATCTGTAAAACACTTAAACATCAATTGGCTGAATTGTAAGCTACATACAGAATGAAAATGAATTGAAACCATTTGTTAAAGTCGTACTAAATCATCACTTTTCAGTGAGTTGAACTTCTTACCAACAAGATCCCTTTTAGGTCCAACGTCCATTGAGTTCCAGTTCCAGGAATATTTTGAAGGCCAGTTTGTGAACCCTTCATGATGCTTGCTGGTCAGTACGATATACCTGAAATCAAAGGCAATTGATCGATTGAAGTCAAATTGTTATTGGTAAAAAAATGAATTACACATTTACCAAATAGCTTCAGTGGCTACATGGGGCAGGGGACATGTGCTTGCCCCCCCCCCCACCCTACCCTCAAGTGATGAACAAAAATGAGAAAAGCAGGGAGGAAAGTAAAGGGAGAGGATGAAAAAGATGAGAAAAGATGATGCCTCGACTACTTCCAGCAACCTTCAGATTATCAGTAGCCTTGCAAATTTGTACTTAATTTTCTGAGTAGGAAAAATACCAACCCCCAAGCAATCATTACAGTGCTCTATCAATGAGTGGAGTCATGCTACGTCCGCCACTGATTCGTCTGAATTTTTTCACTGGTCTGACCACTTTATACAGATCAAAACATCTTGTACATATGCAAAAGAGAAAAAATATATATATATAATATCAAATTACTATTATAATCAATTTCATTGAATCAGCTGCAATTTTGAAAGACAATGTGAAAATAAATGTATAAAACTTGTGGTTCTTCCTAGTCCCTGCCCCACTCAACTTTAGTTTTAAGTTTAAACTGTTATTATTATTAATGTGTAGGCACCGTAGAACTTCATGTTCAATAGCAAAAATATAAGCCATTATTAAATCATAAACATACTTTGCTCCAGATGCTTTAAAAATGTCTGCCCATTGATTGGGATCAAAGAATTCTGCCTTGAACATGGGAGCAAAGTCTGGGTATGTGAAGCCAGGTCGATAATTGTCCTCCATGAACTTGACCACATCAGCTTGCTTAATGCCTTTCCATTTCCACCAGAACCATTCATTGTCAAAACTCGGTACACTGAACACTCCCCAGTGGATGAAGATACCGAACTTGGACTGGTCGTACCAGGCGGGCAGGGGCCGCGAGTCGATCGAGTTCCAGTTGGGTTGGTACTGAGCGCTCGAGCAAACCGCGAAAAACACGACCAACAGCACCGGAATCAAACCGATAAACGGGGGAAACTTTGGACGATCCATACTTTACTGTGTCTGTGATATGACTTATAAAGCTGTGCACATGAATATCATTGAATTAAACCAATTTCGCCAGGCACTGTTTCAGCATAGCACTTTTCACGCGACCTCCGCAAACGTGTGAACATTCATTGTACAGTATTGTTTACAAACCTTACGTAGAAAATATCACGTGATATGATCGCATCACGTGATGTAGATGATGGCAGTAGGTAGGGGTGTGTACGTGTTTGGGGGGGGGGGGGTGGAATACCACGTACAGGAGTAGAATAGTGAAGGGTGATCTGTCTTCTTCTTTTTTCTTTTTGAAGAAGGCAGGAATTTAATTTCAGTCATTGTTGAGTATATATGCATGATTATATCCTTTGGCAAGATACCTAGCTACACTCTCCACCCAGGCAAGGAGATCTCCCTGACCCAGCCCCCAGGTGTTAAATGGGTACCCGCAGTGGCGGATCCGGGGGGGGGGGAGGGGGGCACAGGGGGCACATGCCCCCGGCCATAACAAAAATGTTAAAATCAGCCCCAAATTCGTCAAAAAATGTACAGGCAAAAAGTGCTCTTACCCTTATTCGTCGTTACTGTCACTAAGCGCCATTTCATCGTCTTCCACCTTTCCCATCCGTCTCCCCCCCCCCCCCCCCCACTCAGTGGTATAGGGTACGCGTATGCATGTTCCCTCTCCTTAAAAGCACCCCTCTATCTCCGGTGTGTAAAGTCAGTACGGGCCGGATTTTTGTCTATTACGGGCCGGACTTGTTGCGTGTAAAGCACTCCTTTACCGGAAATTTTGGGAACACGAATTCGGTCCCTCCGACCCAGGAGTGGGATGGAGGGAGGGGGGGGGGGGGCTTTTTTTTCTCTCTCTCTCTCTCTCTCTTTTCTTTTCTCTTTTTTCTTTTTTCTTCTCTTTTCTTTTCTCTTCTCCTTTCTTTTATCCTCTCCTTTTTTTCTCTTCTCCTTTCTTTTTTTCTCTTCTTTTCTTCCTCTTTTTTTCCTTCCCTTTTTTTTTGCGCCGCCAATAGGGGGGGGGGGGGCTGCGGCCCCCCCCCCTGGATCCGCCACTGCGCTATATAAGCGGATTATTATTATTATTATCATTATACGCTTGAATTTTGAAAAATTATGAAATTTTAAATTACTGATTACACTGTTCAAAGAATTGTGTGGGTAAAGAGACTTGGGATGAAATGGAAACATCGTTTTGATTATTTTGAACTGTAACGCACTTAGTATGACTTTTTATTACACACATCAGCTCCATAAAATTGCAGATCTAAATTGTATAAAATAATTTGGACAGCGCCCACTTCAGGCTCGTGGTATATTATGTTCGGTTTTTTTTTCTTCTTCTTTTTTTGACAATTTGATATGTAAATGTACATGCATGATGCGCCATTGTCTGTTTTCTTTTTCTTTTTATATATAATATTTTCAGTGCATTCATTCTGTTGTATCTTGCTGTTCTGAATTCTGTAATTTTCACATCTATAAAGTGCACATGGATTGGGGGGGGGGGATACTTTCGCATTACAGCTAAAACATATTCTTTTCCTGGCATCAATGTGACTCATTCAAAATTTTACTGTTGTTCAATGTTTTATTGAGTTTGTCTCTGCCGAATAGATAATTTTAATACTGTATCGGATAAATACTTGGTGGATCATTTTCTTATATAATTATGAAATTAGACAGCTTAAACAATTTTAAACTCCCATTGTATTATAACATATGTTTAGAAGTGGGGTATTTAATTACAGATCAATGGGAATAATAAAGGTAATTAATGAAGTTATTTCTGGACAATACGCACGTTTTTGCACACAGTAAATAAAAACAAGACATAAAGGCCCGAATTCACAAAGGAGCTTATCGACAAACCTCCTTTTTGAATTCGGGCCAAAAAGTCTTGGAACCAATGCCGGATTTGAACCTGCCATTTCCTGATTGTCGGACAGCGACTCATACCACAAAGCTGGTTCATGGCACAGTCCGGCACGCCATGAACAAGAAATAAAAACATCAGCTGTCCTAAATCTGACTTATTAATATCTGTACAAATTGTAATTACTCCCAGGAAGACTAACATTCCATAGACACATACATTTTATACGTTTGCGAGGCGTTCTTTTTATTATGTAGATTTACAATCACAGTCAAATTGGAATATGGACGGTGAACTAAAATTGGATTCACGTATGAGTGGAATAGCTAGGGTTATGTCTTCGGCTACAGAAGAGAAGAAGAAGATATTAGATTAGGAAAGAAATTGTCATTTGGTCCCAGAAAAGTGTGGCATTAATTGTCTCGAAAAGATTTTTCTCAACAGTAAAATAGAAGTCGCCTCTGTAGTGGATATAATTATTTGATTTGTCTATAATTATAAAGACATTTCCTTAAATGCCAAGCCAAGGAAATGTACCTTGATAATTCCAATTTAAAATGTTGCCTAGGATTATTTATACAAATAGCTCCAAATATAGTTTGTGCTCCTTTTAAGAAAAAAAATAAAAGAATAAATAAAAATCTTATTCATCTCCAGGGTATTTTACGAGTATGAAAAGATGTATATATTTTTTGGGACACAACAGTACTGCTCATTTCAAAGGAATGAATTCGGAGGGATTTTTTTTCTTCTTGGTGTTAGTTTGATGATGTGGGGAAAATATATATATTAGATCATGTAATATTGTCAGTAAAATATTGATATTCCATTGTAGGAAATGGAATATACCTCCTAGCAGCAAGTGAAAGAAACATTGGTATATCAAGTTTAAGAAGAAGAAAAAAGACACGGCAGCACTATAAATACAACACCAAATCGCTATGGGAGGGGTCGCTCCCGACTTGAAGAACTTGATGAAGAGCGGGGGCATTGGAAGGGGCGTGGTGTGGGGGGGGGGGGGGGGGGCTTTTTAAATTCTTTAATATTTATTTTTTATTTTTGATAAATAAATTCTGATAAAACTGGGTAAGAAGAAGTTGCCTTGGAGCTGTAATTTCAGTTGTACGCTGTATAAGACAACTATATTTAGATTGTATATTTTTATCTGCCACTATAGGCATACACAATGAGTAAGTTTACGCCTGCCTATACTTGTGAGTTGTAAGAATTTGTTTTTATACCTTGTCCATGATTGTTTATCTTTTATGTTTAAAAGGAATATTGATGTCACTGAAATGAAAGAAATAGAAGAAGACCAAAAAAGAAGACCACAAACAAACCTAAAGGCGTTCAAATACGGAAAGGAAATAAATAAGAATATGCACATATAAATCAAAGGGTGAGTTTATATTATTTTGTATGAGGGGGCCGGGGGTGCATGGGCTTGGGGCTGGCGTTTTTCTCCGATCCTAAGAAAACTTGAGATTTGGAAATCAGAAAGGTACACTTTTATGAAGGAATGATATTTTTCTCCTGGGCCTCCTGGCACCTAGCTTCAAGTTCAACCATAATTTTTATAATAATCGAGTTTCGTACAAAAGTTAGATTCACCCACACACTTTACTGTACTTTCACTTCCAATTAATTCCGTATGCTGTGCTGTGCGCGGAGTTGAACAAACCCGTAATGTAAGTACTAAAATACTGACCATTAGATTGTGATTTGAATGAGCGTACATAAAACTTATAAGATATTGATTATATGATATCTATGAGAAGCTTCAATCTTTTTACATTTTACGGAACGTTGTATTAATGTAATTCTATCCACCCGCTTCCCCTACGAGAGTTCGATTTGAAGTTTGATTCAGTCCCACTCGTTGGTTTTCGCGTCCTGAGACCATGGAGACGAACTTGATTGCATTATGGTGGTGTGACCAAAGTTCGCGCGTGACCTAAGTTCGCTTTCTCAAAAAATCAGTAAGATTTCGAAAATCTGATATCACCAATGGAAAGAGGAACATAAAATTACCCACAAATGATATTCTCTTTGGAATTGTGTACGAAATTGTGAAAATATTGACAAAAGATCGGCAAATTTTGCAACCTTTTGCGTCCGTTCCAAAAAATTATCAATTTACCGATAGGCGATAAGGCCAGGGTCTGAAAATCTTCAATTTGAGAGCAGATTTCCTCAAAATTGTTAGTAAAAAGTAGTACCAACTGATTGTATGATGTCTTGCCTTGCAAATTAAGATATTACCTTATTTTTGATGCATCACATTTTTTGATAAATCAACTGTAAACCCCCGTGCGTGAAGTTAGGTCGCATTGTTTTTATGACTTTTTTAGATTCAGCACGCACGATCGGACATCGAATTTTTAGATCGCGATATCTCCAAAATCCTTCCACAATAATTTTTTTTAGTTGAACCAATCTGTAGCAAAAAACTTTGCTGTCCATTTGGTAATAAATGAAATAGATCTAAATAAATTTGTGTAGAATATGAGAAATCATAGATCGAATATCACATTTTGTAATGTGTTCTAAAATGTCCGCGAACTTTGGTCACCCCTTCATACATGTTGTGAGATTGTGAACATGCATATTATTATTAGAGAAGAGGTCCTCATAAAAGTGCTAGATAAAACGTCAGAGGTAAAAATACCAGAAGTCAACGTGCAAAACTGTGAGAGGTTACAATTTTTTTGACTGACCAGCTACTGTAGCTGGTCAGTCAAAAAAATTGTAACCTCTGCCTCTCACAGTTTTGCATATCCTTTTTAATTTTATCACACATTCCCCATTCACTGTCAGCTGCAGCTGACAGTGAATGGGGAATGTGTGATAAAATTAAAAAGGATATGAGTGTCCCCTTGCATTGTTGTTCACTCGGCTTTTGACAAGCACAAGGTACAAACTGTGTTTTACATGCCACTTTCCTTATCCCCAGAATAATTTTGTTCTAGAAATAAAGAATTTCCCAGTCATATGATATTGCCTGCTTTGGTACAAACTACCGGTACACACTAGACTAGACTCTATTTGGAGTGAAAAGTTGGCGATGAATCTTGAACAATGTTGGAAGTTAAATATATTAATGATTTGATGTCATGATGATCTGTTGTTATTTGTGATGCAAAACTAACAAATCAGTCAGTACATCAATACTAAAGTTACAAAATAAGCCGTGTTGAGAGATCAAACGCCAGGTAATAAGGACCGACCTGCAATTTAAT